CTGATTTCGGGGTTTAGCATCCCCGAGGCCCGGTCCTCGACCAGGCCACATCATCAGGAAGCAGCCCGTAACAGCTGTCTTTAACTCCCAGGTACCTATTTACTACTAGGTGAACAGGAGCATTAGGGTGAAAGAAACTGCCCCTTTGTATCTGCCTCTGCCTGGGATCGAACTCGTAACCTTGGGACTAAGAGTCCTGAGTGCTGTCCACTCAGCTGTCAGGGCCCTAGGCTAGGGTTACGATACAATACAATGTATATTTTAAAGAATGTGTGTACAAATAAAGAGTAATGTACAATTGTACTTTTACACACACAAAAGAGAACAAATTACCTTTAGGGCCACTAATACTAGTGGCCTCGACGAGGACAGGAAGCTGGCGGCTTGTCCAATGTCCCCCCCTCCCGCCATTTGCCCTGATGATCTTTTCCAGCTGTATAGACATATATTTATTTATTTTATTTATTTATATATATATAAAAAGGTACATTGGGTTTGTGAGAGTACATAGCATTGATGTTTTTACATTCTTGTAAAGCCACTAGCACGCATAGCGTTTCGGGCAAGTTTTTAATCTAACAGATAATTTTAAGTAGGTACTGTAATTCCTTGCAAAATTGATTTTTTTTTTAACAAGTACATTGTAAGAAAATTTGGCAAAGATTAATAGGTACATTAAAATAAAATTTCTGGGTTATAAACAGGTACATTGTACAGTAATATAATTTGAGAATTATTTCAAGGTATAATGCAGTAAAATATGCATTTAATATAACAGTCATGATATAAGATGATAGCAATGATTACAATGGTGAAGTTGTATGGCTTGGGTACATATATTGGGGGATTGGGTAGCACAAGATACAGTGCGAGTTTAAAGCACTAGGTAGGAAACTATGAAGATGAAATTAGGTACTTTTTGGTTTTATTGTTTAATAAGGCAAAAGTTGGACAGCTTTTCAGTTCGTTAGGGATTGAGTTCCATAGACTAGGTCCCTTTATTTTCATAGAGTATTTACACAGATTAAGTTTAACTCTGGGAATATCAAAGAGATGTATATTTCTGGTGTGATGATTATGGGTCCTATTACATCTGTCCAGGAAGAGTTTCAGAATGGTTTGCATTTAAGAACAAGATTTTGTAAATGTAAATGGCACAAGAGAATGTGTGGAGTGAGTTTATGTTTAGCATGTTTAGGGATTTAAACAGGGAGGGCTGAGTGTTGTCTGAAAACAGAGTTTGGTAATGTTCTGATAGGAGGTTTTTGCTGGGTGATGATGGGCTTGAGGTAGTTTGCAGTGGTTTAACCCCATGCATAGATACTGTATGTTAGATAGGGACAGATTAGTGCATAGTATAATGAGAGGAGAGCAGAGTGGGGGAACATAATATGTGATTTTAAAGAGTATACCAACTGTGTTTGAAATGTTCTTGGATATCTGTTGTATGAGGGTTCTGAAGTTGAGTCTTTTTTCTAAGTATAGGCCAAGGAACTTTTCATAATTTTTATTGCTGATATTAACATTCTCTGAAGCTGAATTGCATTTGTTGATTTGCTGCAAAATAGGATGTCCTGTAGTAGGTCTTTTCTATGTTTAATGAAAGATTGTTGGTTGACATCCATAAGTGGACTTCTCTAATTCATTATTGACAACATTATTTAATGTGTGGGGTGTTGGGGTCTGAGTAGACAAGGGTAGTATCATCAGCAAATAATATAGGTTTAAGAATGTTAGACATATATAAAATAGATATACCAAAATTATATAAAATAGACATAAAATTTAACCCAAGGCGTGAAGGGGTAAAACTCTAATACTAAAGGAGAAATAAGCGAACAGTGAGAACGGTTATGGAAAATAAGAAAATAAGCAATAAAGATGATTCTTAAGGATGACAGGCATAGACTATTACAATATGAAGTCAGGCATTGTAGCAATAGTACAGTAGTTTATTTACATTAATAACATAATGGAAATAGAAATTAATAAATTATAGAAATACAGGGTGTAGTTTGGAAGAGCAACTGGACTCTCATAATATTTTGTTTGGAACATAACAACGTAGAGTAATACAGTATAGTAATATAAGGTCAATTGGTTCATTCAGGCACTTCTCTAATATGCCTATAAAGTGATGAATATTGTCTAACACTACACACAGAAATCACAATTGCGTGATGCATCAATCCTCGTCACGGCCCTTGTTGATTTGTTCATTTAATATGGTCTAATGTTTGGTTTTCAAAACTGCACTCAAATACATACTGTACATGACATAATGTGGTTGATAACTTCTAGAGATTTATTGGGTTTTGTTTGTATTTTTCACGTAACTTTGAGAGCATCTTGCAAAAAAGCACAGTACAGTATAGCTGTACCATATTGGGAGTGACTGGAGACTTGTCTGAATAACAAATTTGTGACTTCATTATGTATAGACTCAAAGGGTTATGTGTTATTTGGATAAAGGATGCATGAAATAATTGCTAATTCAAATCTATTCAGCTTAATTTGTTCCAGTATTTGAATAACACAGGCCTACATGGGCCTTTATCCAAGTAATGAAGTTACCAGTGAGCCAGTCTCCGACATGCCTAATCCTTAAATTGAAACCAAAACCTGTGCTGGCATTAAAATTATGATGTCATAGTAACATCATGCACATGCATTGTATATAAAACAAAATTTTATCCCTTGTTGTCATTAGATTGGGTAGAGTTCGGTTTAAAAAGTAGCAATGACATAGACAGGTAAAACTTTCCACGTTTTTTACCCTACCCTAATTCTCAGACTGTGAAAATTCATTGTTCAGCTGATTCTTCAGTTACTTAAAAAAAAAAAGCACATTGCTTTCTGTGATTTGGTCCACTTCAAAATGTTGTGACTGGATTATGGCAGCTGTGACACTGAGGGTTGCCAGGGTGTGGTGAAATCTTGAAGTTTTTTTGCACGTAGGTTTTTTGTTTTTTCCTAATTATTTGAACAGTATTTATTAACCATGGATATGGTTTGGTTAGGTTGAAATTGAAATTGAAATAAGTTTATTGAGGTAAAATACACACAAAGGGATGAGGTAGCCGCGTCCAACAGCCTGGTTGATCAGTCCGGCAACCAGGAGACCTGGTTGACGACCGGGCCGCGGGAACGCTAAGCCCCGGAAGCACCTCAAGGTAACCTCAAGGTAGCTCAAGCTATTCTCACCCCGTTCAGTACATCGTGTTAATACATACATAGACACACATCACAAGCAATAAACGTATTACCGAACATTCTGAGAGATAAATATATACATTTCCTCCTTTACACAAGTAGTATGGTATCAGACATACACACACATACTTTTATGACCTAGGTATACTGTATAGACAGGGTTAGGTTAGGTTTGTTCTCAACTCACAATTAGGAATTCTGGGTTTGAATCCCAGGCAGGACGTAAATGGTTGAGCACTTTCCCATCACCTAATGAGCCTGTTCACCTAATCATTTAACCATATAAATAACATAAAATTGACAGTAAAAGTGAAGGAAGATTCTCAGGCCGATACATAAATAGTACAGTGGTGTACAGTGGTGCCTTGGTTAACTAATTTAATCCATTCCAGCACCGAGCTCGTCATGTGAAACGCTCGTCCTGCAAAACAACAGCACTGTCGTCAGAGGTGTCCGAGAACCAGCGAAAACGCTAGGTAGCACCACGTGGTTTTCTTGTTAACAGAGTGGAAGCTCGTCATTCGAGACACATTTTCTGCGAGTGGCTTACTCGCTACCTGAAATGCTCGTAGATGGGGCTGCTCGTCACCCAAGGTTCCTCTGTACTTTATTTTAGTACAGTACAGTACAGTACTCACATACAGAACTATTTTAGTACTCGCATACAGCACATAATGAAAAAAAAATGTTTCCCAAACAGTTGGCATACCTTAAAAAATATATTTCCTCCATTTTACTCTTCTTAACATTTTATTACTCACTAATACATCCCTATCTAACTTCTGGTATCTTTGCATGGGCTTCAGTCTCGCCAAACTACCTTAAGCCCTTCATCACCTAGCAGAAATCAGATATCGAAGTTGTGACAAATTCTGTCTTCGGACAATGTACAACCATTCAAACCCAAAAATATGCTAAAGATCACTTGCTCCACACATTCTCTTGTGCTATTTATTTAGACTATCAAAAAGCCAATATTCACTTCAATTCTAATTCCTCAATATTAGTCTTGATTTCAAAGTCTTCTTGGATGGATGTAACTCTTGAACATCACACTAGAAATAATTATCTCCTTGGTATTCCTAGTCAGATTATTTTTATGCAAGTACACCATGCAAATACTGTACACCATAATGGGGCCCATAACAGTACAGTATGTGGAACTCCCTTCCTAATGAAGGGAAAATTTGCTTGACCTATACCTTATTCAAAATTAAAATGATGAAATACAGTACATAATTTCCTCACCATAGTATTCAGTACTCTATGCTACTACAACTAGTAACTATCTAGAAATATAATGCCAATATAATTTCTCATTTTCACTAAATTGCCCTATTAATGTTAATAACATTGTGTTTGTATTAACAATCAAATTGCTCCAATTTCTCATTGTATACATAAGCGACTAATTTTATTTCTTTAAAATTGAGTATTATAAGAAGTTTGTAGAAATTAATCATTTGTGAGAGACATGGATCTCGGTGCAGGCTACTATTATAGTTAAGACTGCATGGCAAGATGAAATTACCTTTTTAGATTTATGCAAAAAAAAAAAATCGATAACTATTTTAAAGATGACATTTTTCTGATTATACAGCATGGTTTAATGATAATGAAAATGAAGAACAAGTCGGCAAATACGTTAGGTTTATAGTTTAGTGGTCAAAGTCCAATGATCTTGAGTAATCTTAGATAAGATTGTATTGAGTCATTCCCATCTTGTAAGTGCTTATGAAGACCATATAAGGGCTTGCTGAATGACGATGCTAATATTAGACAGTAACTTTGGGGTGGCCCTGTCTTGCTGTGCACAACCCTGTGTAGTTCTGTGCTTGAAGAGCTACGCTCCCACTTGGCTTCATGCTTATTTGATGGATCTGATTTATTTTTGAGTATGGCATATGGTGTAAGTATAGTACTATGTGATCAGTTACTGTGTACTGACAAGCAGCCACCTTCCTGTCCAATTGATGCCACAAGAGATGGTGGCCCTCTGGTGAGTATAGATAATAATTGCATCTGAATTGTGCTTCAAGACCATCTACATGAAGAGTAGGCAGACAATGATTCACAATAACGTGGCTGAAGGATATGATGACCAAACCACACAAGATGGAGAAATGACACAAAAACGATGGAGTCGTTTCTCCATCTTCTGGTTTGTGGTTTGGTCTTCATTATTTGAATAGTAGTGTATGTAGTGTTAGATATATTCTTTGGTAGTAGTAGTGAGGAATTTCCCTCTTCTACAATTAGATAATTAAAAGGGGTCCTGGTAGTACAGGCAGGTTCGGTGTTGACGCACAATCTCGAATTCCAGGTTCGATCCACTCTGTAAATATGAATTTTCAATTTTTTGGGGGGGAGGGGGGGTAACTTTGTTTATTTAGCTTAAATCTGTGACCTCTTGTTCTTCAAGTTCCAGATCTCAAGAATTCTTTATCAATTTTGTCAATTCCTATTACTGTTTTGTACATAGTGATCATATTGTCTCTTTTTTTTATTCTTCTATCTTCTAGTTTGGCACATTTAATGCCTCTAACCTCTCCTCGTAGCTCTTGTCTTTCATTTCTGGAAACCATTTCGTTGCATGTCTTTGTACCTTTTTCAGTTTGTTGATGTGCTTCTTAACACACTATAGCGGTAGGGCTTTAGATACCCCCCTCTTATAATGTCCCAGAGGGGTTTGGTGTGCTAATTGCTTTCTGATGAGTCACAAGCCTTATGTTTGAAGTCCCATGGAAATATTGAAGACCTCAATTTCCCAGGGCAGGAGAACTTAGGGCATGAGCCATAGAAGATGGATTTTTAGTCAGTGTGATTGGGTCCTAAACTTGGTTGGGTGTGTGGGGGTCTTTGGGGCATTGCAGGGAGGGAAGCTTACATCTGGTGACTACTGTCAATTGAATCACATCTGTATATTGAGTGAGTGAGTACGTGTCCTTATATTCTAATGTCTTAAGCATCACCCTATATTTGCCTTGTTAAGGAAAACATGGTGTAGGATTTCAGTGCTAATCAGAAATAAACTAAATTGTAAGCCTTTATCTGCTGTGTATCAATTGACTTCTGTCTTATAAGAGGCAGCTAGATTCAAGTATTCTTGGACATCTCCCTTGGCTTGTTGATGATACTAATTACAGTAAATATTAAATTACCTCCCTCCAAGATGTTAGAGTAATTATCAAAGTGTCAAATTAAGGCATGAAGAGAATTGTTTGTACAAGGAGGGCTCTCTGCCTTCTGTCCTGTGTGCCGGTGTATTGTTGGGGCAAGTTGCATTAGGCTGCTGGCCAAGTAAGATGCCCCACCACCTATGGCAAATTAATATCACCAACCCAGCAGTGACTGGCAATCTTTGCCACCAGTCGCAGTAATTATTGAATGTAATTTTGTTAAGATGAAGGTGGTGGCAGCATTCGGTTTAAGTTAACTGTAACTTGTGGATTTGTTCATTTGATGCATCACGTTAGTGTGATCTCTGTGTGTGGTAAGTTAACTGTAATTTGGTAATAACGGTGGCAGTGTTATAAATTATAAGTAATAGCAGTGGTGTTATAGTATAATCACAGCACTTGGACTTTTCAGTTGAAACTTTCTCTTATACCGTAGGAATGCATATGCAGTATCCTAAAACCATTGTTATCCTTGCATAACATCCACTCTCCAAATCTATATTAAGAATTGCCCAAGTAATCCATATTTAATTTTCAGAAAATGGTTGGAATAATAATGGTGGTGTACCAGTATGTGCTACTGGTATGTGACTTTGTGCATCTCATTGTTCTATCGGCATTTCTGATGTTAAAGTCTCTATGGCAATTAATGTTTCCACTCCCACTCAAGGCTATCACTGGAGAAGTTGTTCTGGTGAGTTTATTTTGTTTTATTGTGATTTATAATTTAAGTGACATTGTGAGGTGTTCACTGCTGTGATACTACTAATTATGGGTTTCTCCTATCTCGCCATTTCCTGATTTTCAGGATTTATATTAGTTATCTCTAATATATATTTTCCCCCCAAAATGTACTGTGTTCGACACCTGGAGAATGCCTTTATATTGGCTTGAAACGTTTAGGGCTTACGGTGGTACAAGGAAAGATTTCTCTTGTTATTGTCGTGTATTGAACATAATTTGGAAATAAATAAGCATATATGCAGAGAAATTTGTACACATATGGCCTGATTCTGCAGAATAATCGCATTATTTTCGTTTTCAACAAATACCTTGAAAGTTTTGTGGAATTCAATTTTGTTTTATTATTGTCAAAAATGGTAAATGATATTCAATTTAAATTTGATGTGTGTCTTAGAACCATTTCATCGACTATAGTACATAAATTTTCATTATTCTAACTCCAATAGTTAAAAACAAATACAAATTCTTATTAATAATTGTAGTGAATGGAATTAATTATTTTTTCGTTCATGATATTGAGACATAATCTGAATCCTTTAACCCTTTAGCTGCTATAAGTGGTAGCATTTGTCCCCCCATAGAAAAAAAAGTGGAATTAAGTCTGCCTTTCTGGGGTGTTATTAGTAGCTACCCAGAGCTTCACACACTAATACCACAGGGCCAATACCATGTCATCAGGCCCCCCCCCCCATCCTCCCCTCAACAGAGGCAGGGAAGCTGAGGATGTCATAATACACCATTTAAAGACAGGAATCCCTACCAAAAAGGCAAAAAGAGGGGTCATAAAAACTTAAAAATGCTTGTAGATAAATGTTTGGTTTGAATGAATGCCAAATAAATCTTTTCAAAACAGCCAAAATACTGCCTCACTACTTCCATGCCCACCACTGTGTGACAGTGCAATTGGGCCCAGCCAATTGCAAAGATCCTGGTAATTGCTAACCAAAGATCCAGCACTGCCCAGCCTCCCCACTACCCCTTCTCCTGCAATACAGGAACAGATGCCTTATAATTCTGTTACCAGGCTGAAAGCTTTCCCTTCCTATTGCTTATGATAAGCCTTATCCTACTAGTATTCCCTGGAAACTGACCTGCCAATTGGTTAACAGTCAGGTACCTAATTACTGTTGGGTAAACAGGGGGGCAAACAGTTGCAGATTGGTGTGCAGTAAAACCTCCATGGCCAGGACTCGAGTTCAGACCAAATTGCTCCTGAGGCATGGGGCTGCCACTACTAGAACTCGTAGGGAAAAGGGGGGCAACCAAGAGGTTGCTGTAAGGTTGAGGTTACTTGTTCCCCTGTAAGAGGTGTTACATTATTCTCAATACTGTACTTTTCTGTGGGGAGCCCTGTTGGATCCCTGAAGCTATTTAAACTGATATCTGCTATATTAGTTTGGGGGGTCATCAGTTATAGGAGTCCGTATGTCTACTGGGAAGCACAAGCCAGAACCTGGCTCCCTCAGAGGGGCGCAGGGAGAAATGACCTATTAATACTACATTTTAATTACTGTATGTCGCAATTGCCATCAACCAGGCAAGCATTCAGAAAGGTAGGCAAAACAAAACGGACCACAAGCTGATGAAAATTGCGACCTACATCCAAAAAGAGCAAAAAAATACTTCCCCAGGAAGAAAACAAGCAACACTTCATCCAACTAACAATCCCGCTCTTTAGTGCATACCCGAAGAGGGGGAACCGGCTCACCTGAGCTGACAGCCCACCACCTCAGTTCTTGAACTGATGTGCTGGTGCCCTCAAGTTCCTGTTCTGGATTTTCCCGTGTGTGGCTGTACCAGCAGTGTGTGTGGTGTGGAGGCCAGGTGTCTTATTGTACATGGAGCAGCATGCACCTAGGGTGATCGTTTTTCCTGGGGCATTCGGAACTCGCTCACGTTTGAGGACTTCTTCACTTAATGTTGTCTTTTCCCCACTTAATATTGTCTTTTCCCATGGGGTACGTCGGGGGTCTTGGGCTTTTTGTTTTGCTCTGGATGGGGAGTGTTATTGGCTGGGTGGGGCACACTGCGGCCAGCACAGCTTGCACACACAGCGGCCGACGATTCTCTCTGGCTGCCAGTTTGTTGTGTGTCTTTGGGGGTTTTGTTTTTCTTTCTAGCATTTTCGGTTTTTGTTCACTGAGGTGATCTGACTAGCATCTTATTAGGCAAGCCTAGGTTGTGTTGGTGGTCCTCCTCTGTTGCCCCGAGGTTTCTCGGCTACTACTGGTGGTCTGTTTGCCTGCTGACAGACAGGGTTCTACCAGCTTAGCTAGCCTCAGTGCCTGGGCTTCCCATTGGGCTTACTCACCCTATGGGCCTGGGAAAACCCCAGTGGGCTCGGGGATTTGTCTTTTGAGTCCTCTCTCGCCATGTGCGAATATGAAGATTGTTCGTCGCTCCTGCCTTAGGGTGACGATCATCTGAACTTCCTTCGTCATGCTGCTCGGTGGGTCAGTGACACCCACGACCCGGAGTCTTGCAAGACTTGTTCCCTGTTTGTGCTTCAATTTACCCATCCCTTGTCTGATGATCTCAGGGATTAGGCAGCAGCTGCATTGCATGCTCAATTCTCCTTATTGCAACGGGCCTGGTTGCCCAGTTGGAGGCCCCAAATAGAATTTAATGGGGTCAATGCACGAAATGTGCCAGGAACCATGAGTGGTACCTATTACAAGGGAGATAGGAAAATGAAGTGACTAGTAAATCTCAACCTGGAAGGCACTAGAAGAACTTGTATCAGAGGACACCATACAGAAACCCCACTGGTACAAACCAAGGCAAATGGCATCCGCAGGTTTTTGGTCTATTTTTATTCTTAAGTGCATATTACAGTACTTAATTGTCTTAACAACTATCCATGCTCTCCTTCTGTCCATATTTGTGCTTATAAATTTACTTTCTCATGTATATAACTTGACAGTTAACATTTACAGAACATGTTCTCTTCCTTATGATTAATGTAGCTAAGAGAGGCAATTCATGTATTCTACAGGTTCTACCAAGACTTATTTCAACAAGTCGTAAAAAAAAGGATATGTGGTGTGCATTTGTTTCAAAGGCACTAGACCAGCTCTTGCCACCTAAGGGGGCCATCCAGTGACTCAAATCAACTTTGGAATATTGGTCAAACTTGACTCCTTTCTACTGATGTGGTCACACAAGATTCACCTTTCAAAGTGGTATTCTTTATTTTGGTAAATACATTTTTAATGTGTATATTTGAGCTTCTGAGTACCTACAGACCCTTGCATGTTTTGCATGGGATGCTAATATGCTTGACAGTTTTCCCTTACTGAAATATTTTACAGTGAAGTGATGAACTATTGCATTCTCAAAGCACTTTGCTATGATCTTAGGTTTATTGCTACCACATACGAAAGATTAACCCTTTGAGTGCTAAACTTAGTTACAGTTTGTCTGAGGAATATTCATAAACTCTGAGAGCAAAAAGTGGATTTATAAAATGCTGTGATATCAGAAAATTTTAATTTCCACATGTTAGGAAGATAATGAATATTTGCTAAAGTAGTTTTCAAATAGAGTACATTGGCTCAATTAGGGTAGTGATGGGTGTTCATTATGACTGCTTTATTGCTTTAATTACAACATTGCTTTAGCACGGAAACTGTAATGAAGGTGTTTGTTGTTGTAATTAATGAGGACTCGCCAGCTCTAAGGCACTTCCCTGCTAACCGTGCAGTTTATTGTTCTTGAAAGGGATTTGCTTGCTATGGTTTCGATTTGATTCAATTTTTCTTTTGATGGATTGTTTCTATTTTACCCTTTACTGTTGTGTTTATAACCATTATTTTTCCAATTATTTTTTTGTCATTATTTGTGGTTTGTATGAGTTCTGAAAATTTTCTATTTTAAATTCTAGAATGTGAAAATCCTGATAATGTAAGTTTTCTCTCACTGTATTATAATTATCTTGCAGTTTTCTTAAAATTTAACTTAGTTTAGGAGTTAAATTTGTTTTATATATAAATTTTTATTATACTGTATTCTTGCATTTTGTGTGTTGAAAGCTTTAAGTGGACATTTCAAAAGTATATTATAATTTGAGGTGACTATTATTGATATAAAACCAGTATTGAATGTAATGAATGCCTCTGGTAGAGCCCTGGTGGCTCCCTGAAGCCGGCTCCTCACCACTAGGTCAATTTAATCGTAGGAGTCCATTTAGGCTTACTGGGAACCAGAACCTGGCTTCCTCTCAGAGGCAGAGAGAATTTGGGGACATTGTCATCACCCACAATTGGAAAGCATCCAGAAAGTCAACAAAGACAACTGCAAGGTTTATAGAAAATGAAGCACCGAAGTGGCCAAAAGACTCGTCAAAACTATTCGGGCAAAAGCAAGCGATCTAACTAGCATAGATTCATTAGTATTGATGACTGCCACCAGGTGGCCTGAAGCTCTGGCCCACAGGTGACTCCAAGGCTTGACCAGAGCTGATGCACTCTGAACCGACAAACCTGGTAGGGAGGAAGGAAGTCGGAGGCTTGACCAGAGCTGATGCACTCTGAACCAACAAACCTGGTAGGGAGGAAGGAAGTCGGAGAGCCACCGCTGGCTTATTACATTCAATACTGGTTTCTGGGAGGAGCCATTTGGTGGCTTCCTGGAGCTAAATGACCACAAATAACGGAAAACAAGGGACTTTACCAGGGATGAGGAGAGACAGCAGGTACTACCCTGAAAAAAAAAAGCCCTTGGTCAGGAACCCATCCCAGCAACACACAAGACTGATAGGGACCAACAATAAGAATCAAACAATGGGCTGCCAGAACCTCATCAGAACAATAAGACCATCGAACCTGAAAATAGGTAAACAACATGGGGAAAGTTGCAGAAAATGTTGTGTACTTAAAAACACCAAGGACTTGAGGGTAGACCACAGGCTGGGCAGCTATGATAACATGACAGACAGAGGAAATGAGCCCCATAACATGGACCATGGGGAAATAGGAACAAACAACGTGTTTACCAAAGCAGGACCAGTGGCACACAGGCAGTGGCCAAATGCCACCACTGGACATAACAAGTGATGCATTCCTGACCTGAGAAACCAAGCATCAAACACCAAAGGACCCCTCCTAGAAGCCAGCTGACTCATACTGTGCCAGTAAAGGAGATGGCAACAGACAAATTTTCCACCAGGAGTGAGGAACAATCCCCCCTCCTGCCTCCAGAGGAGAGCACGAGGGGTGTGTTTCTTGCCTCTCTGAGAGAATACCCCTGACTGAAGGGCCAACTGGGAACACAGGAGAAGAAAGACAAAGACTCTTATCAAGAGACAAAGGCAGCTCAGGAGAAGCATGAGCTGTCTGGAGGTGAAAGAACCCACCCCTGAAACATGCATCAAAAGAGAAGATGAAGGGACAGAAGAGGTGAAATAAGTGCGAGGCATCGTCATACTGCTGCCGCCAAGAGCTGCCGCTGGCGTGACACAAATAACCCAACCACCTGCTTGCCACACAAATGGTAAAAAAGACCCATGTCAGAAACTCCAGACATATAGAACAAAGGAGAAAGCTGAACCAGGAAGGTATATCATAGGGCTGACCTGCTGAAAGAGGCAGAGCTATGGAAAAATTCCCGGATTTGGACAGGGCCAGAAGAGCCATAAACATAGTTCAAACAGGCCATCAAGGAGAAGTGAAGCATAATTAACCTTATTAAGCACACTGGGGCTTTAATGGATAGTTATTCATTTAAACACAGGAAAAAGCAAAATACAAGCTTTATTTTTATGCTTACATAAAATATATCTGTGAGGTGTAGCTGGCCCTAGACTAGTCCAGCTCAAACAAATCTTGCAGAATGCAGGAATTCCAAATATAATTTTCTCAACACAAACTACAGGTACTACTGATTATTAGATATATGGACCACAAAAATATATATCGTAATTTAAAATAATACATTTTGTTTTTGATAAAAAGCTTGAAAGGATTTTAGATGTAATTATGCTCGTTAATATGTAATGCACTGTACAGTACAAAATGTAGCCGATCCTTCCAGTAGGCCAACTCACTGCTAGACACTGATCAATGTAGTTTTGTTATACATTCCTGTGTTAAGGATGTGGTTTAACCTCATACTGTAATTGTAGTTTCCCTCATCCCTTCCATTTAAATAAATACTCTAAATATTTATCTTCGTCTAATTTTTAGGTGACTGGAGCTGGTCATGGAATTGGTCGAGAACTGGGGCTCCAGTTCGCACGTTTAGGAGCTAGAGTTGTGTGCTTGGATATTAATGAGGTTTGTATTAGTTACCTTTCATCTTGCTTTCTTTGCTAAAATATTGCACAAAACTAAGAACCTTATCCAGTGGGCACAGTATCCAAACTATAACTTTAAACCTATATTCAGTGTTATCAATGTTGAATTAAAGTTGATGACATTCATTCAGCATTGAGGTTATGCTTGGAGGTTGTGTCCACTAAGTACATTAATTATTTAGACATTACTTTGTATGGTATATATTTCAATCAAGGTTATGAACCTTTTCATATACTGTGCTGTGCTTTTTCAATTTATTACATGTAAAAAATATCATAAGTTTACCTCTTAGGTATATTTATAATTTCCAATTTTTTTTTTTATATTGGTGCTAAATAGTTTAAAAGAGTTTTATAACTTTACAAGGCAGGGGGATCATTTGGCCTTTTTTTCACAGGCAGGTATAGTACTAGTACTATGAAGAGAGTGAGGTAAAGAGCCTTTCTTTTAGCATTGGATGTTTTGATGGCACTTATCTTGGTACCACTTAGTGGTGTGCTGGATATATAGACTCACATGTGCTGGAGTAAAGGACCTCTGGAAAATGATTGAAGAATTAGAAGGGACATGGGACACAAAGGGAAGCTGAGAGGGAACGTAAGGTTGCTGGGAAACGAAAATAGCTAGATAGGAATAAAGTAGCCAGGTTAAGGAGGACATTGAAGGACTATAAAGGATAACAAAGAGAAGGAAGCAGCCAAATGGGTACATGAGAACATGATAGTAGTGGAAGAGGAGAAAATAATCATGGAGATTGCCAAGATTCTAAAGAAGACAAAATTAATAAAAAAAAAGGGGAGATCAGAATCAAAAAGTGGTAGTGCAGTTCACTAGACATAAGTGAAGATGTTAAAAAAAAAAGCCATTATCAATTATAAGCTGTCAGTCAATGGGAGAAAGAGAGAGAGAGACAAAGAAGCTGCCTGTGGTGTTGTGTAGGGGGGGGGGTCCTCCCAACTTTTCAGTATGAGGCCCACATCTTACCCATTTTACCCATTTTTGCATGTCAAAGAAAAAATTGGTTTTATAAACTGAATGAATAAATTTGATTTGCATCTTTTCTGGGTAATGAGCATGAGATAATTCAGAACAAGAGAAATGTGAAGATTGCAAAGATGCCAAGCTAACACTTGGAAATGCTATATAATGAGTAACAAATGTTAAACATAGCAAATGCTCTGACACAAGAATCATTTACTTACCAGCAGATGAGAATGGCAGGTTATTAACTCTTTTAGTAATTTTATTTACTGAAATGAGAATTTGCCCAATTTTGTGGCACTCTGGTAAAATACAAACCTCAAGAAATTCATTAAAACAAATCAAAAAAATCTAAATACCCCTGTAGTCATCAATAACAGTCTAACAAAAATAAAGTCAGTCTGCACCTTTATACTCAAGTCCATAATAAACATCAGAGGATTCCCAAACAAATGTACCAGTATTGATGTTTTCTTACTGCTTGGTAAACGACAGATTGGCCAGGCTGACAACACTCTGGCTTGGTGTCCTATGGTAAGGAGCATGGCGGACAAGAACTGGACGTGTCAAATGTCTTGAATGTTTGGTTGAGAAAAAATGAAGGGAAACAATTAATTTTATTACTGTACTTTTATATATTTCAAGTTGTTGCTGGCTGGATGTGGTAAACATTCCATAGTTTGGAGACCACGGTGGAGAGGGTGGCGTCCACACCTGCTTGCCTCACAAACAAGAATCACTCCCTCACTGGTTTGATCCTTTGGCAGGTGGGATGATTAGGCTCTGGTATTTCACTGTTCACCCTTGTTCATCCAGCAGTAACTGGGGACCTGGTTGTAAGGTGATTAGTGGATCATGTTCTGGGAAAAACAAGCAGGATAGGACTTAGTAAGAGCTGCAAGAAGTAGTTCTAAGCCTCCAAACGAAAGTCGGGAGACTTTGCTGGCTTCACTTTAACTGTAGTGCTGTATGGTGGTTTGTAGACCACACGCACATTGCGGTAGTGCCTCTTGATGGAAGTAACTTGCTTTCCATCTTCACATTATGTATGCAGTACAGTATTATAAAAGCTGTTGTCCTATACTTTATTTTTCTCTCTTTTGTGGCTTTCCTTACTTGGTTACCTCTTTACTTACTGTATTTGCTTGCTGAATAAATCCTCAATTCTCTACTGAAAACTATACTTTAAGGTACCCGTATGTGGTGACTCACTTGTCAAAACCAATTCAGTATGCAATTTGCTTTACAGATATTTCATGTGTTTTAAGTTTTTATGTTTCAAGAGGAGTTCCTAGCAATAATAAAATATATATTTTTTTTTTTTTATTTTAATAGTTTGTGTATTGTTGTACTTGTTCCTGCCTTATTTAATTGAAAAATGACTCCCCTGTTGTTTTTATTAACATAGGCTAACAACAACAAAACTGTAGCGGATATTGGAAAAGAAGGTGGAAGTGCTTGGGGTTATAGATGTGATGTCAGTAGTAAGGAAGATGTCCATGCAGTGTCAGACAAGGTATGTTTAATATGTTGTCCATATTGTAAACCAGCTGATGTATAAACATCATGATATATATGTCTAGGAGAGACATAGTACCGATATTATTTATTATAATATATTTTACAACAGCACCCTAGGCTGTTGTGGATGGGCGATGTACCTTAACTTTTCCACTGTTCTTCTCGGCTATTTCATTATTGTTACTCGATAAACTCCTCCACATTTTTAGTTGGTCATGTTAGCAATTACCCATTCCATTATATTTTACTACAATGTATTATATTTAATAACCACTAGCGGAGTTAATAGTATGAAAGGCTGCTAGGATATGTACATGTACAGTACATTGATATAGAAAGTTTGGTTTGGATTTTGTGCCTGCAGCTTCCTTGATGTTGACCTACACATCTGAATACAATCTTGGCATTTTCCAATTTCAGGTGAATCAATGATACAAAAAAGATTTTATTCAGTCTTTGGTAGATGGTTCCACTTTTTGTGTCATGAGTTTAATAACTAATATGACATACAATTAGAAAGTATGTTTCTGGGAGGGGGCCCCATCTGTTGCTTTCCATAGCTAAGAGCTGGTCTAATCCAGTCATAGGGAGATGCACCAGATCTCTTTGAGACCCACCATTGTCTACACCAAACCACGCCCAGAATCTGACTCCATCTATGAGGTAAGGGGAGCTTGAGGATCAGGGATCAACCTAAAAGGGAGAAAAACCCACTATAAAGCAAAAGCACAACAAAACAAGGAATTACTTATAAAAAAATTAGGTATCCTTAGGTAAAAAAAATATACCCCCTCTTCGCTCTCCTCTCGCCTGGACACAAAATAAAGAGCATGGTTATTCCGATGCAGCTCATTCATGTTCCATGTTAAGCTAAGTGGTGTTGGCTATACTGGGAATAGTAGTTCTGGGGGGAGGGAGCTTTTTTTTTTCACTTTGAGCCAGAGTTTCCTTCTTTAGCAGTCAGCCCACATTTATCCAGCCCCACTAAGAGATTCTTGCATGAGGTGTTTGGATTCTTCCTTTATGAGCAAACTCCTCCTGAGTCACCTTACTTCTGGGTAGTGTACAAGACATGTTCTCCACTGCAAGGCCTGTTAATGGGGGGGATAGTATTTAGTGGTGTTCTTGTGTTGTGAACACACCTGGCCCTGCTCCTTCTCCTTATATGTTGGGGCTTTTACCGAGCATACACTTGGGTTGTGTAACCCGTTGTTCTCGTCCATGACTGCCTCCTCCATTTCTTGCCAGGTGTTTATGGTTAAGGTTCAGGTTTATTCAGCCAAGACACTTTGGTCATGCCTGGCATGCCTGCCCATCTATATGACTACTGTATTCACGTGGCTGCTTTCCTTCATCCCACTTATATTATGTTCTCAGATTGTTTTGGCTTCCCCATCCATTCCTATACCTGACTGCAGGTTGCAGTAGAAACCACTTTCTGCTTCAATGGACTCCTGCTGTCCTCTGCCCCTGCTTTCCTCTGCCCATGAAAGGGGCTGCTGTGGTCCTGTTTCATATGGCAATGGCTGTTGGCCTCGTTTGTGGCTATGGCTGTTTGCTTCTGCTCTCTGTAATGGTGGCTTTTGCTCCATTTTTTTTTTTTTTTTCAAAAACTACAGTGTATTTTAGGCTCCAGGCTGAATGGCAGGCTGTGGCTCCTTTGTGTACTTTGGTCTTACTTTCTGGGTATGTGTCCCAGATGCCAGCGGGCACTTGGTCTTCATTTTGTGAGCTTTTAGCAGGTCCTCACCTCTGTGTCTCCTGCTCTGGCTAGGATTCTGCAATTTTTCCTCTGGATTCCCTGTGTAAAGTGGGGCTTTGGCTTGTGCGTCCCCCAGGTTTCAAGTCAAGTTGCGGCAGTGGCTGGGCTATTCCCATCAAGGTTGATGTTGGCCTTGGAGCCTATCTTTTGATCTGGCAACCACTGATTTTGAGGTGTTTACCAAGGACTTCAAGGAAAATGGGGATTGTTGGCTGTCTCTTACCATCCGTCTCAGAGGTGCCTTACAGCTTGGGGCTAGCCTGGTCTACCTCTTTGTGGCCTTGTTTTAGCTAGGCCTAAGAGCTTGTTCTTCTGGAAGGCTTGTTAGTCTTCTCCCTGGGGTTTCCCCCTACCCTAGGCCACCTGTGTTTTTCAAGGCTCAGGGCCTGTGACTCGGTTCCACCCTATGGCCTCCTTTGGTTCGTGGGCAGTGTGCCCAGTTGTTCCTGGGATGTGGCCTTAGTTGCCACCTACTTACTGGCTGTCAGGCATTTCACAATTAGGGTGTTTACAACTCAGCAATAAACATTTACTGCCTTGGGTACCAAATCTCCTAAAGCAGTTGCTTCTTTTGAGTGCACTGATCTCTGAATTCTGGGCTCCTCTTGCTTTGTAGAGCATGCTAGTTTCTGGTCGTGACTTCCCATAGGCAAGGGGGGGGGGATCTTGGAGGTCTACTGCATCTTCCTATATCTTGGATGGAACACCACTTAGCTACATGGAGCTACTGAGGGCCTACCACAAAGTGGCATTTCATTATATTAAGTTCTTGGTTAACTTATACTTTTACATAGATTGTGGGTTGCAATTTTTTTTCATTGTACCTGTTTATTTATTCATTAAAAGCATGTACAGGTTATTTTTGTCTGTAGGAATGAGTCAACCCTTTGTGTGAAGTAACATTTGAGATGGTGATTTAATTCTGTATTCTTCTTTTATTACTTTGTGTTATGTAGACTTTCTTGATTATAGGATTAACAGCACAAAAAAAAATCAGTTTTATAATTAATAAATGGTGTGTATTGTATTACAGTATTACATTGTTATTTTCAATTTTGTTTCCATTTACAGTATTAATATCATCTGATTCCAGATCCGTAAAGATGTAGGAGACGTAACCATCCTGGTTAACAATGCTGGCATCATGCCATGCAAGCCCTTCCTTAAACATACTCCTGAAGATGTTCACAACATCTTCAAAGTCAATGTGTTTTCTCATTTTTGGGTAAGTACCAAAATAAAACAAAAAAACAAATTCTTGATGAAGTATTGGTATACTAAATAATTTCATTGCCCATTTCCCATGTTTTTTTTTTTCCATTTACTGTCTCTCTCTTGAATGTGTACATGTGATGTGCCTTCCTTACTGTCGTCATCTCTTGAATGTGTACATGTGATGTGCCTTCCTTACTGTCTCTCTCTTGAATGTGTACATGTGATGTGCCTTCCTTACTGTCGTCATCTCTTGGTGACTTGCAGATTTTTTTTTCTTGCTGTCATGTTCTTGATAATAGTAGTACTCATTGTCCTGGTAAAACTGCTTGCCTCTGCGTTGAACCATTGGCTTTCCAGCGTACATGGTTCTATTTCAGCAGAGAGACGTTGCCATTGGGTGGTATGCCTCAACTGAAACACCTAGCACTTTATTAGACACTTTTCCTCCATTCACTATCTGTTTCCCCATGATGGCCAAATTGGAGAGTTTTGCAAGCTGTGTCATGTTGCCCCTCCAGTGTGGCTGGTATTATCCTCGCTTTGAGCCCTTCTCTATCGTACCTTCATCTGATACCCATCATGGTCCTATGGCTCGTCCATACCATTGGCGGGAGAACTTAAATTCTAAGAGGTCTAACACCTGCATCTCTGGCATTTGACTTTGTGCGTATGTAACTTCCTTTTTTACTGGGTAAAAATAACTTTTAGGCCTTATGTGCATACATTTGTTTTATATATTAATCTTAAAACTCTGACTCCATGTTGCAAAGCTAGCCTCTCCCAGTTCTGCTTGGTTGTCACATTCAGTCAGCTGCCATATATATGCAGTGACCACCCAACAATTCAGACCTTGTTAACTCTAATCTCTTAAGTAATTTGACCAAAATTAAGGCAAAGTTTGAGCATTGCTTGATTATGCCTTAAATAAGATCAACTGTACCTATTTTCAAGCTAAAATAAATTTCTTTTATTCTAAATTGACTTTCAACACTGTGCTGTGCCTTCTTTTCATATCTGAAATAAAAAAAATCTCGCCAATACCTTCGTCCTTACGATATAAAACTCCAACTTTCAACAAACTAACACAATTTGTAGTAATTTGGTTCACATTGCTCCTCTTACTTACAATGCTGCTGGCATTTACTTTATTTCCTGTTCATCTTGTCCACTCCAATACATTGGTGAAACTGGCTGTATTCTTAAAGACAGACTAAAAGAACACAAAGGGAGTGTCAAGTCTGCACACACATTGCTGTCTTCCGTCATGTTAGAAATTTTAACCCCTGCACTGCTCATACTGAGATATCTCGGCTGATGGGTGGTGTCCCATCTGAGAAAACTTGTTTGTAGGTACAGGTACTGTATAGAGAATGATTCAAAACTTCAGTATTAAACATGGGGCTTACATCAGACTCTATTCCTCTGGTCTCTATTTCAAGATGCCATCTTGAAATTCCTGCTGGATGAGAGGATCTCAGTACTACCAGTGCTTCCTAAGCTTGTACATACAGCAGGAACTCACAGCACAGCTGTGCAGGTTGGGACCACAACACCACTTAATAATGAGGAATAAAATAAGTAACTTCAATTATTTTAGAATGAGTGTGTCATAGCTTATCCTGATTGTAATAAAAACCCGTGCACAAGGTTCAGATATCGGTGAACATAGTTCTAATTATGTTCACAGCAGGATGTAGACATTTAATTAAAGCACACAGCCGAGGTTTTGTACATATGTGCATCGTGCAACATAACCTCGTGTTTCTTTAGAAAATATTCTTGTGGGAAATGATTCATATTCATGATTTAGTGACAGGAATCACATAATAATAATAATAGTGTTGTGGCTAGAATTAACAATGTGGTAGTATACTTAATGCATATTGCTGTGTTGGGTGACGTTGTCTGCTGATGTAGTCTGGTTGTGGCATGTGGGTCTATACTGTGCTAAGATATCTTTACTACACCCACCAGAACTACTTAGTGGTTCGTTATGGGTTTATAAAAATAAAGGTAGCTATATTTGACATGTGTATATACTGTTGTGTAATAACAGCAAACACAGTTTTATTGTTCTAAGAATGTCACTAAGTATGACAACCATATTTTTGAGCACAGCGATGTACTGCACATTTAACTATATAACTTCCTCAAATTACACATTATTGAATAATAATACTGCAAAAACTTCAGTATATTTTCTATATATATCACTTGTATATAAAATATAAGTATATTTTCTACACTTGCACACTAAAAATATACAGTATATCACATCTATATATTTTCCTTAACTTGTACCTTTTTCTGACCTTTTTACCTTATTCTTATGTTATTATCTTACTGCTATACTTCTTGATTCCCATACTTCAAACCTATTTCTATTCTTCTTACCTTACTCCTTCCTATTCTTACAAACTTTTTCACCTGTCATCTCGGTCTCTTACCTTATATATATTGATCTCTACCACACTTCTATTTCTATTACACAAGTTGATAATGGACCAGGATAGACCGAAACATTGTAAATTCTTTTATTTTCACATTTGTGGGTTGGGTGTTAAATTTTCAGCTATGTCATTGCGACCGATTGTATATTGTTGTAATTTTATTTTTATATATTTTTATGAAACGGTTGCTATAACAATCTAAATATATTTATTGTATATGGAAATACAAGTTCAATTGGTTGAGTACAAATAAGAACGCTTGTTCAGTATTTTTACGTGCTTCGTAAGAAATTCAGGTACAGTAACTTTGATCAACTGACCCTATCTGTGTAGACCCAGACAGGGTCTACCCCATATGATTTGAATTCGTAGGTGAATGCTGTACCCGTGTGCATGACTTGTGAAAGTATGTCACTCTTGTTGCATTTTTTTCATAGTTGTGTTCTAAGATCTGGGCCTAGAATTTCTGAAGGTTGAATCGGACCTTTGCCTTCTGCTATTTTACAGACCTGCCATGTCTGAGAGTGGCTGTTGACATAGATATTGATTAATTGATTGATTGATTTAGATAAGTTTGGATGCAGGGAAAAATTGTGTTGGATATAAGGTCTGTTTTCTACTGAAAATTTAATATGGTTTAGGTTCATACTGTAGTGTTAAAAGTTGATTATCTTCCTTTGCAGACTGTTCAAGAATGGTTACCATCTTTTGTGGTAGCTGGCCGTGGTCATGTTGTTGCCGTATCTTCCATATGTGGCCTTATGGCAACATCTAACCTTGTTCCATATTGTTCATCAAAACATGCTGTAAAAGGTAAGCCTTAAAATGCTATTACAGTGGGGCCTTGATTTACGATGGTAATCCGTTCCCAGAGACATATCTTAAGTCAAAACGATTTTTCCCATAAGAAATAAAGGGAATTGAATTAATCTGTTCCACACCCCCAAAAATATTAACTTTAAAATACATTTTATACTGAATACAATTTTTCTCTAACTACAATACAGTACATATGTGTATCTTACCTTTATGGATAATCCTGCGCGGGCCCTAAGCCTCTGGCTGGCCCACTAAGTGTTGCTTGTTTCTGTTTTACTTGGGCGGAGTATGAGTATTTATGACTCGTATGGTCGCTTCAGTAAGATTTTGCCATATGTGTTTAACAACTTCTGCTCTGTTGAATCTAAGTTGAAATCATAACGGGTTTGTAACTGTCCACTGTGTTAGATATTGTTCCAGTGGTCTGTTGGGCATTTCTCCACAGTGCTGACATTTCCTCTCATCTTCCGGAACCTGTAAGCCTATTTCCCATGCACATGGGTATCTAAGCCTGATGCGATGTAAGTGCACTTCTGTTGCTCTACTGCTCCCTTTCATCAAACTAAGTGGCTCGTAGTTGGTTGAATTCTTGTACCAACGCGTTGATTCTGATGTTGCAACTGCTGTGTTGTGGTCACTGTACATCTTTTGCATTGCTCTGTTTCTAATGGAGGAGAGGTGTTACTGTTTGGAAGGGGAGTCCCCCTTCCATTATAACATCAGGCAGTGATGACTTCTCTGGGGCACACACTCTCCTATGTTTTGCCTGCATACCACTAGGACCTGGTTGTGATTCACTGCTTGTTTGTCTCACTAAAAACCTTTCCATAGATTTTTGCATTTCTATATGTTTTAATTTTTGTCTGTAGTGAGGCATCACAAGTGTCATTAAAAAGTTAAGGCAACGGTCTACTGCACCATGATTTGGGCGAGTCGTTTCAGCAAAAGTTTGCAATTCTTCCCATGCTGCACATATTTTCTCAATAAATGAAGAAGGGACATTCTATACTGTCTCCTCCTCCCCTAAAGAAATTTCCTCGGCTGTCTCTTTTTGCTGCTCCTTGTGAAGTTCTTTGGTGGTCAGTTCTTCGCTGTGTTCCTCCACCAGCTCGCAACACACAACACTCACAACACTATGAATGCCACTTCTTTTTCTAAATTTTTCAAACCATCCCCTGCTCGCCTTAAACTCTCTTGCATTTGCATCACTCGTTCCAAGGGTTTTCTTTAAAAGGTCTTCATGCAATTTCCTTGCTTTTTCACAAATGACGGCCTCTGAAACGCTATCACCTGCTAACTCCTTGCTGTGCATCCAAATTAATAACTGTTCAACATCCTCAAGTATTTATGTTCTATGTTTCGTGATTATTGATACGCCTTTTGCCACTTTAGCACTCATAATGTCCTTTTTCTTAGCAAGTATGGTGGATATCATTGACTGAGATTTGTTGTACAGTACTGTGGTATTGAAGAGACGGTCTCATTTTGTGTGGCCTTTGTGAGGATCCAGCAGATTTGGCTTTTCAGATAGACATTGTTCCACCCTTGGTGGGTGTGTGTGCACGTGTTCCTGATGCAAGAAAACATGTACGATGAAGTTACTTGGATGATAATAGTAAATATCTGTATTGGAAAGAATGGTTTATATGTCACTGTATATATGTGTAGTGGTTTGGTGATTGAAACATTTTACTTACATTCTATTCTTATATTAAAGTAAATATGCACTTTTCTAGGTTTGATGGATGGTCTGACAGAGGAGATGCGGTATGCCGGCAGGAATCCAGACATCAAGTTCACCGGTGTTTATCCATTTATTGTAGACACCGGTCTTGCTAAGAAACCACGTATTAGGTAAGAAACAAATCTGTACTATAAGAGAATGTGTGTGTCCAAAGTTGGAGGCTAGAGGATACTACTCACCCAAATTTGTAAGAGAAATGGTGTGGGGTACAGGACAGATGCAGGATATGTCTTTTTTTCATTCGGGAGTACGTTCCATTCGGGAGTAGGAGCATCCACCAACCATCCAGTGGTGGATGGTTGGTGTAGGCCTGAGTTAAATGCTTCAAGAAATATAGTGTGTAACCCAACACCCCCAAACAATTTTTCAAGGAATCTGAAATGAATCCAGGATGAAATTAAGAATGAGATTCTGTAAAGTGTGAAGTTACTGTGAAGTAACTGTCATTCACCTGCTTGATTTCTTAATAGTATATTTTCTGAGAAAAAGGGAATGAGGGGATTGGGTGAGGGAGGGATAGACTCATACAGTTGTTTGTCCTTAAAATTACATTTTCTGAGAGAAGGGGAAGAGGAAGGAAGTAGGAGAGGAGATGGAATGACAAAGGGGGGACTAAGGGGAAGGGGAGAGGTTGATGAGGGGACCAAGGGGATGGTCCCCTCATGAGGGGACCATGACCTCCCCTCCCAATGAGGAGAGATGGGAGGAGAGAGAGACTATTCTGGGCACCACTGGGTACCCCTCTAATATTTTCAATCAAAACAGTTGAGAGGCGGGCCAAAAGAGCCAGAACTCAACCCCCACAAGCACAGCTAGGTGAATACACACTACCAGCAAATTATGCCAGCAGACGACTCAAAATGCATCAGGATATACTATCCACAACTTTAATTTTAGGCACAATGTTGCTATTGTTATCAGCATCCTGGTCAGGAAATCCAGAATATGAATCATTTTGCACAACATTTATTTTCTATAGGAGAACGAGGCCATTCATGATGCACCAATGGCAATGTGCTGGGGGTATCTGTGACAGTGTAAACATCACCAACACCATTATGTTCATTGATACCTGAACACTACATAGTCTTTATTACTGTTAGGATGTTCTATAATACTATCATCACAAAATAATAGTATTTACTTATATATTTTGCCATTTATAAGTGATGCTGTGGCTGCAAGCTGAACAGCGGTGCTGTTAGCTCACATTGAATGTGCTAGCTCTGGTTACTCACTCAGTACTGAGGCCTCCACACCAAGGAATTGTGTCCACAATTTTTTTTTTTTCAAAATGGCATATGTTTACTGGAGGCCTGAGAAAGCCGATGTGAGCCTAGTAACCACAGGAGTTTTAAAATCTTACCATGTGCCCCAATTCTTCACCTGATGGGGGATGCACAGTCTGAGAATAATTAGCCACCTCATCATCTGATGGGATGCACAGCCAAAGGGTTAAAGTGTAAATCAAACGATTACATGCTAACAAACGCCCTGTATATTTTCATATACAATGCTGGTGAAACAGGCTTTAGCTGGAAATGTTTGCAGGATAACACTTTGACATCTAGGCTAGATAAGTGTTCCAGGCCAACATGGCAGCATCCAGCAAAGCTGTCGCAAACAACAAATAACATTGGTTGTGTGTAGTGTGTACAGTTAGGTTAAGTGTCAATGCAATGTCTTTAAATCTTAAATTTAGAATGCAACTAAAGTTGCACTGACTATAGTGTACATTAGTTTATGTATTCTGTGTTGTAGTACTCCGTATATAGTACTGCACAGTCAGTACAGTATTCTACTGTAAAATCCATCAAATTCATTTTGTACAGTACACACAGTATTGTATGGTATTCACAACAGGAAAATTCAAACAAGACATATTCCATTGTCAAGGTAAATAAAACTGATACAGTACTTATTGTAGAGAAACAGTATATTGTATTAACTATTTTTACATATATATAAAGTGATCACATCAAACAAATGCCTCCTGAAGACATCACTGGTAGCTGAATTGAGGTTGCACTGTACATATTGTTTTGAAATTTTAACTTGGTGGGACTGCAGTTACTTATTGGAGGAAACATAGCTGTACAAATTATGTACTGTATTTATCAACCTTTATTTCTATTTGATAAGTATGGCATGAGTGTGATACAGGCCTTAAATTAGTCAAAATTCTAAAACTCTGCAGATACAAATTATGATACATCAAGTTTTGTAAAATGTTTGCTTTTTTTCTTTTAGGTTTCCATCATTTAACCCCATCCTCACAGCAGAGTACTGTGCCACCAAGATAATTGAAGGTGTTCGCAGTGAAGAAGAGATTGTGTGCATCCCTTCCAAGGATTATTATGGACACATTCTTATGCAGTAAGGACCTGTGTAACTATAGTATTAGAATCCTAAAAAAACATTTACTAATACTGTAATTTGCCTGAACACTTTTATACATGTTATTAATTATGTTGATATGCAAGCTAGAACTTTTCCTTTTAGTAGTTATCTGTATCAATGTGCAGATTCTATATTTTTATTGAGCTGTCATATATGTGAAGCTTGAGAAATAATTTATGGAAGGTTTTGAGGATGATTGTCATCAGTAAATTTTCAATTGAGAAAGTAGAAGGAAAGAACCAAACACAGAAGGGCACAAATAAGGAAAATAAGAGACAAATATCAGGAATATTTTGAAAAAACATTTGAGGAAATTAAGGAAAAACAAAGCAGGGGTTGCTTTAGTGTGCTCGTGCAGGATTACCAACAGTTATTCTCGAGCAAATTCAATGGCAACTACAACCACCATCAGGTCGCCACAAGAGTTGTCACTGGTGTTAGTCACAGTTTATGCGCCTCAAATGCTCCTTCGTGTTGTCACTAAGTTTGTCATATAGGCTGGATAACCCAGTGGGATGGGTGGCAAAACGATTCCATTATGAAAAAAAGAGCTTTAAGACTTGTCTTGGATAGAAACTAGAGCTAATCAACAATTTTACATGTCGTTTATGCCAAGTGACCTCGTTTATTTCGGAAGCATTTTGACTGTAAACCAGTAATACAGGAAACTTCCTGTATTACTGGTTTACAGTCAAAATGCTTCTGAAATAAACTTTTTTATACTTTTAGATATGAATCATTGTGTCCTATTTGCTTTATCTTGAACATCTGTCAAACGTGTAAAATTATACTATTCTTTTCAGTTTGATTCCTCGACGAGTGCGAAGAGCATTTCTGGACTTCATGGATACAGGAGTGGACGAGGCTGACAAATAATCACAAAAATGTTTGCTTGCAGAATTAGTGGCCTCGATTAAAATAAATTTTCTTACTGTGCATCATCGTAAATCAGAGCAACTATGAGGTCACACGGTTACAGGTATCTCTTCCTTAACCTCCTCTCCTTTCCCAGCACCACCACCACCACAACAGGCAGCTATACACCACTAACTGGTGAGTGAACTGCTGGAAAATGAGGCAAGGGCTCTGAATTATATGTTACATTATTCCTAGTGCCATTATTCCAGGAGCAAAAAAATTTTTTAGGTTTGTGAACAAGGAAGACATTATGATGGAAAGGAGTGATAAGGGTGGTGAGATTAGCAAGGAAATAGGGATCAGAAATGTGACAAAAAATGTGATGCACGTCAAGGACAGTGAATACCCAATTAAGATAAACACAACTACATGGGAGTATTATGCTGTATGCCTTCAGCATAAGGCAGTTAAGGACACTGAAGTTGGAGTAGGAACAGCAACGTAGCACTTACACCAGTAAGTGAGGAAGTAGGATGAAGAGAGAGAATAATGCAGAGGAGATTCAGAGACTCAGACTGAAATGAAGAACTCTTGAAAATTTCTCTCGGAATAATGCAAGGAATATGCAGAACAGTGAAAACAGAGAAGATGCTTTCTTCTCACGACTTGATAATGGTCCAGGACAGACTGACTCTCTTCTCCATTTTCTGAGTTGTGGTTTGGTCAACATTTTTTCAGCCACATTATTGCAAGTCATTATCTGCACAAGATGAACAAGAATAGCTTCTTTAAAATAAGGCAAGACATAGAAACCCAAGGAAGTATTCGGTACAAGTGGTTAACAGTGGGAACACATTGATGATAAGGTGGATGCCATAGCATATTTGCTATTAAAGTTGTGTACTAACACAACCTGAAGGCCAAGAGATTGGAAAAGCTGGTACAAAACGAGCTAGGAAGCGAGGTGTGAAGAGTTTAACCTTGTGCTCCAAAGTTACGGATAGCAAGCCCTGATATTTCTTGTAGTTGTACAAGGAGTTTGTACAGATATCATTTATCTGTGATGTTTTGTTGCAATATTTATATATTTTAGCATTGCAAATCAAAAAAAAAAAAAAAAAAAAAGAGCTGTGACTATAATAAATGGAAAATGTATTAAATGCTTATTTATTAATATTACCATTCTTCATTTTAATGTTTATATGATAAGATCTTTTTTTTATGGTACATTACAAAAAGATGATTATACTGAATCAATAATAATTTCATATAGAGTATTTTTAAGTGTGGTAGGCAATTGCTGGTAGGTAGACTTGCTCTCACAAGTCAAGCCTGGCCCCGGGCCGGGCTTGACTTGTGAGCTTGGTCCAACAGGCTGTTGCTTGGAACGGCCTGTAGGCCCACATATCCACTACTGCCTGGTTGGTCTGGCACTTCCTGAAAAAACTATCCGGTTTATCTTGAAGACATCCACATTTGTTTAGCAATATTTCTTATACTCGCTGGGAGGATGTTGAGCAACCATTTACCTTTGGTGTTTTACATAGTGTTCTCTAATTGTGGTTATGGCACCTCTGCTCTTCACTGGTTCTGTTCTGCATTTCCTTCCATATGGACCTCCTCTTGAGTTCAGAGCTGGAGTGTTCTCAGTGCAGCTCGGCAGGGTGTGTGATAAGTCTTCTGTTCTATCTCATGGATTTTTACTAGAGGATAGGATTGTGGAATTTCCATTACTGTGCTTAAGAGTTTTCTCTCTCAACTTTATGAGTCAAGTAATCATGGACCTCCACCAAGTTTAGAGCTGGCCTGTGCTCGGTGTGGCTTGGCAGTGTGTGTACTTGCTGCTGACACTGTTGATCTAGTTTATGGATTTTCACTTGATAGAGAAAAGCTACAAGCTTGATAGTGATGGCTTGTAGTGAAATTTCCAGTCTTGGGACTTGTCGAGTGCTTTTCTTTTAACTTTCCAGCGGGAGTAGTGTTGGAACGCCTACCAAGCTCAGAGCTGACTGGTTCTCAGTTTGACTTAGCAGCATGTTAGGGTGTTGACTCCTGCTGCTGTTCAGAGCAGACCTGTGACTTGTATGGCTGGTTGGTCCCACTCTTACTTCTAATCCATAAATAGATCAGTAGTGTGAATAGTGGTAAAAATGTTCTATAATACTTTGAACAGTGTGTTTAGCATCTCTTGACATGCAATAGTGACCAAAGTTGAATGCAGACATTACTTTGAAGTAATAGTTCGACTGCAAGGGCTTTATCAAATTGGAGAGGTGAAGTCCGAGATTATGCCCAAAATGCTCTGTATATTAGTGGCTTTATATATTTTCCATATGTTCCTATGAATACTCTATTGCATTGTGTTTCAAGTATACTTTATACAGTGGGGCCTCGACTTACGATGGTAATCCATTCCTAGAGACGGATTGTAAATCGAAGCGATTTTTCCCATAAGAAACAAAGGGAATTGAATTAATCCGTTCCCCACCCTCCAAAATATTAACTAACAAATACATTTTATACTGAATACAATTTTGTTCTCTAACTACAATACAGTACATATGTTTATCTTACCTTTATGGAGGACTCTTGATGGAGTATGGAAGATGGTGATGAGGGGAGGTGTTACTGTTTGGAAGGGATGTCCCCTTCCATTATAACATCAGGCAGTGATGACTTTTCTGGCTTATGGGCTATTCATGCCCGTGCCACCTCTTGGGTGGCTTAATCTTTATCAATCAATCACTTCTCTGGGATACACTCTGGTATGTTTTGCCTGCATACCACTAGGACCTGCTTGCTGTCTTACTAAGAATCTGTCTAAAAACACTTCTTTTTTCCCTACATTTTAACACTTGTCTATAGTAAGACATCACATTGTCATTTAGAAGGTCAATGCAATGGCCTTCTACAGCTTTATCTGGGCGAGTTTTTTTTAACAAAACTTTGCAGTTCTACCCATACTTCACACATTTTCTTAATGAGGAAGGGATATCCTCTACTGCTTAAACTCTCAACTATTTTCTTAGGTTGAACCTTACCACTGACTTTCTTGGGACCCATGGTGTGATATATAATAATCAGTTTTATGTTCAAAAAGCAAAAATTCACCACAAAAATGGAATTTCTTATAGGCATGATCGTCACTAAGCAGGCAGCTCTAGTAAACTAAGGCAGGTCGGCCCGCATGACCGGAAACCACGCACTTGGTAGACCCAAACGTGTACCAACAAATATTGTTAGTCGAGTCACATTTTTCGATCAAATTTACATCGTAACTCGAAATTATCGTAAGTCGAGGTAACACTGTACATACATATAAATTATTATTATTACTGTATAGTGTATACACTGTACTAGATTTTTTAATTGGTTTAACTTACTGGGTCTAATTTAAAAGTACTCTCCTGTGTATATTTAAAAGTACAAATGTGTGAACTTTTTATGATTCATCTCATTCACATAAAAAGTTAACAATAATTCATAGATGAAATAAAACACCACAATGGAAAAAGATTATCACTGAATAACAAATGCTTGTGAGAAAAGGTTCTTTATACATGGTTCTCTTCTGACATGGTTTATTACTTCAACAAAATTAGTTTACTATACCATACAAGTCAAAATATTTGTACATTTTAATTTATAAAGAGTGCAATGTTGAAGGAATCTTCCTAACACAATTGACACAGCAATTCTATAACAACTATTATTAATATCACCAACAATAATAAAAGTTAACCGTAAATACTTTGATATAACCAGACTCAATATTGGTTGTACAGTACGTGTACACATACATATGATGAACTAGCTACTAAATATCTTAAAAAAAAATAGCAGTATAAAGTGAGGAAATTATATTTTTAGCTCCATCCATCTACTGGTTGGTTATGCTGCCTGGATTGCTAGCTGAGTAAAGTATGCTGCATGAATAAGTATACTGTATCTGTCTAAGGCAAAACACCAATTAAAGTAGTATTAAAAGTTAATTTGCTAGGCATAAACACTTCAAAATATAAAGAAGGCACCAAGCTTCAAGAAATGGAGCAAAAAGAAAAATACTGTACCAAGAAAGGATACCCCATCCACTTGGCACATGTTCCACACTTCACATACTGAAGCAGAATCACTTAATACCAACAATGACACTACAGTAATTTAGCCTCAAAGTAGTATTTCACTTCCTACAACCTAGTGTAAAGTGCACTATAAGTTTATTAAATTTGTTGTTTAAATATTTAAATAAAACTGATCTCATCTAAACTTGTTTCCTATTATTTCTTGTCTGTGGCTTACATTTCCTTCTTCCTCACACACCATGTCTGTCCTCCTTGGACCTCTCCTACCTTCAAATACCTGTACACTCTTAATGACTATCATCATCCTTTTGCTTAATAAGATTAAACCATCTCCATAAACTCTCCTTTGACTTATGATTTACTGATATTTGATCAAACTATCTTTCCATGACATTCATTAATTATTCAATCCTCCTAACACCACAAATCATCTCAAACTATCAACTTCTACATCTCCTAAGTCTTATACTTCATGCTCACGCCACACCAGTGTCTTGCATCTATACTACTCCTACATTAATCTCTCTCCTGATCTTATTCTCCCTAACCAGGGCCTTTATTTCACCCCACTTTCCTTCATTAACTATGTATCAATGTCTTGTGCACAAAATCCCTTTTTTTTCCAATTACAGAGCCTTGAACAAATCAACCAATGCCAGGATTTCATCGATTACTTTCAGATAGTTTTCTTCTCTATCACTTTTATCTACTTTAACTTTTAGCAGTCTTTCTTCACATACATCAACAAGTTTTTAACTAATCTACATATACTCATACAAAATAGCCCCATTTAAATGCAGATATTTTATACGGACACTAAGATAGAACTCTATCAACATCAAGGACCCAAGAATTTTTGGCACACTTCCTCTAAACATGGGCATAACAAAACAACCTCCACGTGTATTCAAAATAGAACTTGATAAACACCTCCAAAGGATACCTCATCAACCAGGCTGTGATTCACATTTTAGTCTGCGAGCAGCTGCGTCTAACAACCTGACTGGCCAAACCACCAACCCAGAGGCCTAGTCAAAGATTGGGCCATGGGGATTTTCAAAACCAACGCAAGGTACTGTAACTGCCTGGCAATATAATCATTGTGTCCTAAAACAACTGCATTATCTGCATAAATCACATTTGAAAAGCTCCATTTACTCCTTATCATCCACTAACTTGAGCTGTGGTGGATACGTGGGCCTGCAGGCCACTCCAAGATACAACCTGTTGGACCAAGTTATCACAAGTCAAGCCTGGCCTCGGGCCAGGCTTGAGTAGTAGCAGAACTCCCAGAACCCTATCAAGCAGGTAACTTAACACCCTTTTCTAATGTTCACCCCCCTCCCTGACCTCCATCATGACCCTCATCCATAAATACAACTATGGGAACAACACAACCCCGGCTCACTCCTACAATAATATCTAATCACTCGCATTACACCACTGACACGCTCACATGTTCTCCAGATGATCCTCGGTTTATGTGAATACATTCTTGCAAAAAGCATACAAATATGAACACACACAAATGAAACTTTATAGTATAGGAACAAATTAGGGATACATATTGGAGACCTCCAGAAGTCCAATGCTTCCACTGTACTCAACAACATATCTTTTAAAACAAATATTAAATGTTTCCTCTAATTTTAAACCACAGGTTTGCCACATAATGATGCCCACTATGTTTAGAATATGCAATGATGCATAAATATAATCAAAAGAACCTCTTAAAACACAGTGAAGCTGGGGTGTTGTGGCCCGACCCACTGCCTAGAATGTGAGACCAGAAGATTAGTGTGAATGATACATGATATTATGCAATAATCCAGTCTCAACCTGTGTAATTCCAAAATTCAATCATGTACTTCCTATTAACTTTGTCACATGTTTTCTCAAAGTCCAAAAATACCATACAGAGTATGCCTTATACTGTACATGTGTATGCTTTTCCTACTACAGTACAGGTAGTCATTGATTTGCAAGGTTTTCGAGTGTGTGAATTCAATGGTATATGGATAAGGACTTTTAAACCAAATTTTGAAGTGCTGGGGGAGTTTCAATAGTACTTAGATTGGGCTTGCATTAGCTATGCTAATTTGCATGTATATCACATTCTTGGTAGTTTGTCAGCATACTCCACATTCTTTTGTTTCACAAATTTTTGGATTATATTCTTGCATATTTTTACATCCCAAGCTTTCTCGACTGTCATTATGTTGTATTTGTTGCAGGAAAGCAGAGGTCATTGCATATTAATGTTTAAATAAGGTATTTTATTGAATAGAATGAAAATTTTACTTTTACATGTTTCTGGAACATAGGCCTATTTTTCCCATAATTGTTCCATATACCTGAAAGTCTGAGTTCCACGGTTTTACATGGACGAAACTTGTGTGCAAATCTAGAACTGCCTACAATTATCTGTGTGCAAGTATCTGATCCACACCTCCCACTAAAGAACCCACCTTGTTTTCCCCTGCATACTGTAGTTATTTACTGTTAAAAAACAATTACCTGTATACTGCACTTATTATAAAAAAATTACACTGATCAGAAACATTTACTTTAGACATCACCTTGTAACAATTTTTTTCTGATGTTAATTCAACAGGAACGAGAAGTCTGTACCAAGTGGAAATTCTTCGGGCAGCTTCCCACTGAAAAAGAAAGATTAAGCTACATGTTTATTCTGAGCTGTATACTGCATATTTTAATCCATAAATTGTCCCAGCACTTAACCTTTTCTTGGGGAGCCCCTTTCATGGCTCCCTGTAGCAATCTTGCTGATATTCCTCCATTCTACAAGTCACATCAGTTACACAAGTTGTGTTTGGCCTACCAGGGTCCAGAGCCAGAACCTGGCCCCTCCCCCTCACACGAGGTACAAAGAGCAAATGACATTTCACCATATCACCAGGAAAGCATCCAGAAAGTCAGCAAAGCCTTGAAGGCAACTGCTGGGTTACAAGACTAAGAGCCAAGAAGCTGCCAAATAATTCCCAAACCAATTCTAAATAAACAAAATGTAACACATAAAACTAGCTAGAATACATTAGTACTGAATTCTGCCACCAAGTGACCTGGAACAGAGTTCAGTGTCAGCTATCAAATCACCTCGTATGTAGGTAGTCCATTATTGCCCACTCGTGATTCGGCTTGGTTTTTAACCCCTTTTATCTGCATTCCCTTCTTTCCCTCTCCTTTTCCCATTTCCTGAGAATGTTGTTGTAGTCTTTCAATGGCAGCTATGACCTGCCATCTGATTCCCAATTTCTGGCTACTTGAGGTTCTGTTCCTCATGCTTGGAGGTGGTCTGGTAGGGTTGGGGGGGCCATGCTTGCTGTTGGTCAGGGTTGACCCCTCCGGGGTGCCAGTTTCTCATGCTGTTGCAGTTACTGACTTACTATGCCCCTCACAGTTGAGGGGGGGCTCCTTTTTCTGCTCCTCGGTGCAGCTCTTTTGCGTCACAGAAAGATGGCGTTTCTCATAGTTTGAGTTGGCCCTTTTGCAGTTCAGCCCCTCTGATAATGCTGTAGGGAATTGACTCACTCGCTTTGCAGACTCCTGGTCCCCATGATTCATAGGTGTTTCAGGTTGTATTCCTCAACCTGCAGTGGAGTTGGTTGGTTCTGCCTAAATTTTTTGGATCAAGGCTGGTGGATCAGCTTTTTTTCCCACTGCTGTGTCAGGTCATTGTGATGTGGTTAAACATAGGCGTGGTTGAGCCAACCTCTTCCCTTCTTTGGGTGTCCCGTTTGTTCCCGGTCCCCAAGAGGAACTCTTCGGACCTGCGGTTCATACTCGATCTTTCAGGCCTGAACAGCTTCATTCCCTTTCCGACCTACCACATGACCACTGATAGTTTGTCAATGTCCAAGTTCATCTTTGGTCCTGTGTTTCCCTGCTATTTGTCTTTACTTGGACTTGGTGCCAGATGTTTCTCCTCCTCTCTGGCAAGTCCCTCCATTTTTCTCTATGGTTATTTAGCTATAGGGAGCCGCCACCAGGAGCCTCTCCCAGAAACCCAGCATTGAATGTAATGAAAGGTTTTTTCTAGTAGAACCCTGATGACTCCCTGTCTTCCTTCCATGATCATTGCAGTGTTCTATCTGCTCCAGAACCGATTTGATATCTGACGCTGAACTGAGGTCAGGGCAAAAGCTTATTTAATGCACAGATATATAACTTTGCTTAACTCACCAGGCCCCTTGCAACCCCCCCATAGTTATTTTGTTACTTACTCTGCCGGTCTTGGCAGAGGCCTACAACCTCTAATGCACGTACAAGGTTTATTATTTACCTTAACACAAGAGTAATGTAGTGAAATATATATTATTCAAAATAAATATAAATATAATATTATATAACATTCAAGCACAATTAGGCAAGTACATATCCATCCTAACCAATGTCCAACACTAAATTAAAAATAATAATAATAAATCATAAAATAAATTTATGCAGTTACTGTATTTGTTTTGTCTACTGCATACAATAAGGCAATTGTTGGTGAATAATTCGGTGTCTAAATTATGAAAGGATGAATAAGTATATGAAAATTATTCAGAGCACACACAACAATGACCAAGATCTGTACACCAAATGTCTACCCATCATAATATTCACTACAAAATTTATTATGCAGTCACAATAGGATGGAGCAATCACTGGCAAACAATTTTGTAGCAAAATTATATCTACATGATCATTACTGGTCTCTCAGATGTAGAACGGTTTATGAAGAATTTTGTTCTCAACCATTATTTAATATACGGTATTTGAAGGCCCAGTACACTGGGTAAAATCAGGCTCATTAAATATTTTCTACAAATTGTTTTTTCTGAACTTGTGCACACCTCAAATTGCTTTGCTAACGCACCATAACATCATGTGAGAGCAAATACCAAGGAAAGGAGTGCACACTGAAGGATTCAACCGTTCAGGTTTACTATCAACTTATGGGAAAAATTTATTTATTATAATTATGAACACACTGAAAAAAGTTAATACAAAAAATGGGCAAACTCCTGTCTACTTGTTGACTAATGACATATGGAAGATTAATTTTAAAATTTCACAATGCAAGTTTATGTGTGATATCACCTTATTTATAATTGACATTGATATAGTGCTGAATGTGCACAACAAAGAAATGTATGCACAACACCCCCTGCTAAGATAGAAGCCCAGACTCTGCCAGGTTAAGGTTTTCTTATACTGTACGTACATCCTGGTTGGCTTTATACTTTACCCCATTAATATGTACCTACACCTCTTCCTGCTCTTACTGTCATCAAGATTACGTTAAATATCCCAGATATCAACCGAAGCCAGACTGGGTGCCTCCCACTACTCTTCCCATCACTTCAGCTACTCTTGCCACATATAATTTTGCCCATACATTATTTTGCCCGAAATGCTATGCGTGCTAGTGGCTTTACAAGATTGTAAAATCAACATCATTCCTTTGTTCTCTCTTAACCCCCAATGTACCTTCTTGTATATAAATAAATAAATAACCACTACTTATCTTTATATACCCTTCTTAATAAATGGCACATCTCTCCCCCCACATAAATAAATAAGTGGCAGCTTGCTTACGGTCTAAAAAGTCGAGCTGGGTGCAAACCCTTGAGAAGAGCTGCCTGTTCCGTCACGTGCAGTAGCGATCCTTCACGCAAGCCAAGTACTGGTGGTGTGTCTGGTACCTCATGGTACTGGTTGATTCTTTCTTCTCGAGTCTCCTGAAATACATATTAAGAGTACAGTGTGGTAATATTATATTGTATAGAGAAGTACAACCTCTGGTTATGTTTGTAGAAACCCTAAACCTCAAAGAAGAGAATGTGCAGCATCTAGGGAAGCCTTGCAAGGTTCCCACATGTGCTTGCATGTCATTTTCTCCTACTACTCATTTTATTTAAGTATTCATCTGATTTAAAGACCTCTGCTTTTCCGTCCCACTGGATTTAACAGCTGGGTTTGAGACCAGTATTTGGGTCCTCATTTACAGACTCAAATCCAGGAAAGGCAGATTATGATTACCATTGAATTTACAGAGCCTGCCAGTAAGTAAACAGGCAGTCATCATTGGCTTCTTGTGGCACAACTACACCCTTCCTAGACTGATGCTTTCCACAGTGTTTCACCCCCCCCCCCCTGGAGTGACTGTGGGAATGTACCAGTGTTTCTCCTGGAGTGACTGTGGGAATGTAACAGTGTTTCCCCTGGAGTGACTGTGGGAATGTACCAGTGTTTCCCCCCTAGAGTGATTGTGGGAATGTACCAGTGTTTCCCCCCCTGGAGTGACTGTGGGAATGTACCAGTGTTTCCCCTGGAGTGACTGTGGGAATGTACCAGTGTTTCCCCTGGAGTGACTGTGGGAATGTACCAGTGTTTTCCCTGGAGTGATTGTGGGAATATACCAGTGTTTCCCCTGGAATGACTGTACTCACCTAGTTGTGTTTGTGTCGGTCGAGTTTTGGCTCTTTAGTCCTGCCTCTCAACTGTCAATCAACTGGTGTACAGATTCTGGAGCCTACTGGGCTCTATCAAATCTATATTTGAAATTGTGTATGGAGTCAGCCTCCACCACATTACTGCCTAATGCATTCCATTTGTTAACCACTCTGACACTGAAAAAATATATATATAATGTCTCTGTGGCTCATTTGGGTATGTACCAAGTTTCCACCTTGTCCCCTTGTTCGTGTTCCACCCATGCTAAATAGTTTGTCTTTGTCCACCCTGTTAATTCTCCTGAGAATTTTGTAGGTGGTTATCATGTCTCTCCTTACTCTTCTGTTTTCCAGGGATGTGAGGTTTAGCTCCTGTAGACTTTCCTCATAGCTCATATCTTTCAGTTCTGGGACTAGTCTGGTGACATATCTCTGAATCTTCTCTAACATTGTCTTGTGTTTAACTAGGTATGGACTCCAGGCTGGAGCTGCATACTCTAGGATTGGTCTGACATAAGTGGTATACAAGGTCCTGGACAATTCCTTACACAAGTTTCTAAAGGCAGTTCTTATGTTGGCCAGTCTAGCCTATGCCACTGATGATATCCTTTTGACTGTGGGAATGTACCAGTGTTCTCCTGGGGTGACTGTGGAAATGTACCAGTCTTTCCCTGCAGCTGTGTGTGAAAGGGATGAGTGTCTATGCATGAGGGAGTGAGAGGAAGTTATATCATCATTTTGATTAAAAAAAAAAAGTTCTTCGGGGAGCCGAGAATTACTCAAAATATTACAGACATTTAACAACTTCGGATCTGTTTTAGGGAGTAGGTGGGTAATACCCCACATAGGTCATTAAATTGACAGGATACTGCTGTACAATATAATTGTATGTTAATCCAGTCACTTTCATCTAATAGTTTCTTTTTTTAATTTAGCAGACATACAGTATAGTACAGCACAGTACCTTTGTAATTCCAAAGATCACTTACTACATTTTTGTAGATTTAATTACAGTACTTTGCACAAACACTGTACAAAATAATATTTCACCACTCATTTTTCTTATTATTCACTTAAAAATATTGTTCTTGTGAAAATTAAAGAGAATATAATTTCACTTGACATTACTTATTCCCCCTGGCTGCATTCACTGAAACTACACGAAGATAAATTTTCATTTTACTTTACAATGGTTTCAGTGAACTCTGCTTCCTTCCTCCATCTTTTATTGTTTCAAGTACTTATTGCATTCTTTATTAGTCTTTTACCGCTTATATTAAATCGCTAATGGCAACCTTCATTCTTTCTATATATGTACTGTAATCTAGTCAATGCAATCAAGTAAAAATAACTTCATTAGTATTGTGGCAATATGAATATACAGTAGTTGATTTTTTTCCAGTAAATACACCTACAGTCTTTTGCTTTTTAGCACTGCAGGGTGTCAAGATATTTAATAAGTAAACTGCTTTGCAAATATGTTACAGTATTTTACCTGTGCCCTGATCCTAGTCTCCATTCGTGCCGTTCTGAAGGTTAACTGTTGTCATTGGGAAGGTTGGACCACGGTACAGTAGTAGCAATGGCTCAGACCACAACATTAATTCCTTAAGTATTTGTCCTACTTTCACAACCGACATTAGCAGCATCCATGTATCATCTTCATTCTCTCCTGTATGGGACATCTGCCATGTACAGTACACTATTTTTCAATATAAATTACTTTTCAAAAAAGTAACAATAGATTATGATGATGATACACTGAAAAGAATACAATATAAATCTACATGAATCTACACAGGAAAAGTCTTGCATTATGCAACACTACAGGGTATATAAATTAACAGAATAGCCATAGGATATCAGAGTGATAAGACAACTGAGGAGAAATTCATCACATGAATTTATGAACGCTGACAAAATGGTGGGAGCAACAATCGTGGAATGTGCAGAGGTAGACTAATCAAGGAAACTGGAAGGAGCAACCATTAAGCAGCATTTGGATGCAGTCAGCAATGGTATGGCATCATCTGTGCAGAGGAGCGTCCAATAAATTTTCACCGATAGCCTCTGAAAGAACAATGTCCTGGGGCCAGATTCACGAAGCAGTTACGCAAGTACTTACAAACGTGTACATCTTTCCTCAATCTTTGACAGCTTTGGTTACATTTATTAAGCAGTTTATAAGTACAAAAACTTCCCAGTCAACTGTTGTTATTGTTATAAACAGCCTCCTGGTGCTTCGGAGCTCATTAACTGTTTAATAATTGTAAACAAAGCCGTCAAAGATTGAGAAAAGATGTACAGGTTCGTAAGTGCTTGCATAACTGCTTCGTGAATCTGGCCCCTGATGGACAAGTGATAGCCTCTGAAAGAAGGATGTCAGTGTATCAGAGTACATCTGTTGACCATGGCAGGCACTGTATGTGGCATATGAGCTTGGTCAGTGACAAGCAGCCAGCTGTCCTAAAACCTATGGTAGGAGGTTTTACCTAAAAACCTAAAAAACCTAAACCTAAAACCTGGGTAGCCTCGGGCATTGTTGAGGGCAGGCTTCGGTGCATTAGACTGCTCTGTCTGCAAGAGTTCTCTTAAGGGTGTCCTTAGAAAGGAGTGGCATGACATGGATAAGTAATTATCAGAAGGAGGCACCAAGCCGATGACATGGGATACTAAGCAGTAATTTTGGTAACTGTGCTGCAAGCAACAGATGGCTTCAGCTTGCAGGGGGTGGGGGTCTGTGGTGGTTAAGCTGTATGGAAGAAGAACCCTTGTGTTCAGGAACAAAATGGTAAACATACACAAGAATACAGGTCTGGTGCAATGCTGGGTGTATCATCTATTGGGTTCCCAAAATCAGGACACTGAAAGCTGCACAAGCAGGCACAAACAATTACAAACATTCTTGGGCTTTGATAGAATACAGTACCTACCCCTTTATGTTTGCTTGATGGATCTGCATCAATGTAGTGAGGGTTGATGTTGAATGGCACTAGAGCCAGAGCACTGAAGCTTGGAGGGTAGATGATGGGCATGTCATTGGTAGTGTTGATGCTTACTGTTGCCACATTGGTGCCAGCACTACTCCCAATATAAGGAATTCCATCCTGAAAGAAAGTTGTTTTTTACGCCATGTTGAAATAAATGACAAGTTATACATATATACCTGTAGTTCACCACCGAGGCCACGTTTTGATCAAGTACTCTACGTGCTGTTATGACGCCACGTGTTCTTACTACACTAAGGGCTATATAATAAACCTAGCTGAGCACTTTCACTTGACACTTAAGTTAAAATGAGCCTACACTAATTTTCCTTGCCCGAGTCCTAAAGATGATCGCTGTGCCATCTAGTATAATACTAGCTAAACATCTATTATACTAGGTTAGTATTAGTGTCGAACCTTCATATATTCACTGACAACTGCAAGTATCATAGCAATCATGACATGGTATACAAAATGACCATTTAGCCAGGCCTCCCCTTGCAAGTACACTGTCAAACTTGCAGTACTTATAACAGCTGGTCGAGCTTAGACATGAAGGTCCATACTTCCTAATGCTTGCCTCAGCCAGAAGACAAATCTTGCACTAAGCCCAATGATCAGTATCATCAGCATCAAAATGTATTCTAATAAGGCTTACAAGGACATACAGCAAATCCCTTCATTAAGGTATATAAATGAGGAAAGTAATTTAGGGTTATAAACACAGCAGGTTATTCTTTAAAATAATAAGAATACTCTACATTACTTACATATAAACAAGGGATATTCTTTACACAAACTATAAAAGGTTAGTGTCAAGAGGGAGAGCACCAGTCAATATCCAGGGGGGGGGGGGGCAAAGTCAGTGTCCATGGGAAGGGGGGCCAACATCAGTGTCCAGGGGGGCCAAGGTCAGTGTCCAGGGGGGGCCAAGGTCAGTGTCCAGGGGGGGGCCAAGGTCAGTGTCCAGGGGGGGCCAAGGTCAGTGTCCAGGGGGGGCCAAGGTCAGTGTCCAGGGGGGGGGGCCAAGGTCAGTGTCCAGAGGGGGGCCAAGGTCAGTGTCCAGGGTGGGCCAAGGTCAGTGTCCAGGGGGGGGGCCAAGGTCAGTGTCCAGGGGGGGGCCAAGGTCAGTGTCCAGGGGGGGGCCAAGGTCAGTGTCCAGGGGGGGGCCAAGGTCAGTGTCCAGGGGGGCCAAGGTCAGTGTCCAGGGGGGGGCCAAGGTCAGTGTCCAGGGGGGGCCAAGGTCAGTGTCCAGGGGGGGCCAAGGTCAGTGTCCAGGGGTGGGCCAAGGTCAGTGTCCAGGGGTGGGCCAAGGTCAGTGTCCAGGGGGGGCCAAGGTCAGTGTCCAGGGGGGGCCAAGGTCAGTGTCCAGGGGGGGCCAAGGTCAGTGTCCAGGGGGGGCCAAGGTCAGTGTCCAGGGGGGGCCAAGGTCAGTGTCCAGGGGGGGCCAAGGTCAGTGTCCAGGGGTGGGCCAAGGTCAGTGTCCAGGGGTGGGCCAAGGTCAGTGTCCAGGGGGGGCCAAGGTCAGTGTCCAGGGGGGGCCAAGGTCAGTGTCCAGGGGGGGCCAAGGTCAGTGTCCAGGGGGGGCCAAGGTCAGTGTCCAGGGGGGGCCAAGGTCAGTGTCCAGGGGGGGCCAAGGTCAGTGTCCAGGGGGGGCCAAGGTCAGTGTCCAGGGGGGGCCAAGGTCAGTGTCCAGGGGGGGCCAAGGTCAGTGTCCAGGGGGGGCCAAGGTCAGTGTCCAGGGGGGGCCAAGGTCAGTGTCCAGGGGGGGCCAAGGTCAGTGTCCAGGGGGGGCCAAGGTCAGTGTCCAGGGGGGGCCAAGGTCAGTGTCCAGAGGGGGAAGGGTGACCACTGTCACACTGTGTCAGTGTCCAAGGAATAAAATTCAAAACAGCATTGCTAAGAGTCCTACAATTATTTCCATTATAGCTTACGTGACTACCTGTCCAATCACAGTCTTGAGGAACCCTCTCGTCATAACTCCACAGATACTGTATATTGTAAAGAAGGAAAAGGTATTTCTGTTTATAATTTATATCTGACCTCCTTTCTCAACTCTCAAACCTAATAATGCACCTCAATAGTTGCAAAGATATCAAACAATGGAGAAATTTGGATTCTCATTCTCACACACACAAACACACACATACTTACAGGCCAGTTTCCTTAACTTGTATACCATGCAAGGTGCTGGAGAAGATCGTGAGGAAAAGGCTCGTAGAGCATCTGGAGGGAAATAACTTTGTAACGCACCACCAACATGGGTTCAGAGATGGTAAATCGTGCCTCACAGGTTTAATAGAATTTTATGACCAGGCAAGGAAAATTAGGCAGGAAAGAGAAGGGTGGGCCGACTGCATTTTCCTGGATTGCCAAAAAGCCTTTGACACAGTACCCCATAAAAGGCTGTTAAAAAAGTTGGAGCAACAGGCAGGAGTAAAAGGGAAGGTGCTCCAGTGGATAAGGGAGTACTTAAGCAACAGGAAACAGCGAGTAACGGTGAGGGGGTAGACATCAGAGTGGCGAGATGTCACCAGCGGAGTCCCACAGGGCTCAGTACTTGGACCCATCCTGTTTCTAATATATGTGAACGATCTTCCAGAGGGTATAGACTCATTCCTCTCGATGTTTGCTGATGATGCAAAAATTATGAGAAGAATCAAAACGGATGAAGATAGACAGAGACTACAGGATGACCTGGATAAACTGGAGGAATGGTCTAGAAAATGGCTGCTAAAGTTCAACTCGGGAAAGTGTAAGGTGATGAAATTAGGCGAAGGGAGCAGGAGGCTGAACACAAGGTATCATCTGGGAGGGGAAATCCTGAAAGAGTCAAATAGAGAGAAGGATCTGGGGGTTGATATCACACCGAACCTGTCTCCAGAGGCCCACATCAAAAGAATATCATCAGCGGCATATGCTAGACTGGCCAACATAAGAACTGCCTTCGGAAACTTGTGTAAGGAATCTTTCAGAACCCTGTATACCACTTATGTAAGACCAATCCTGGAGTATGCAGCTCCAGCCTGGAGTCCATACCTAGTTAAACACAAGACAAAGTTAGAGAAGATTCAGCGGTATGCCACCAGGCTCGTCCCGGAACTGAGAGGATTGAGCTACGAGGAAAGGCTAAAGGAGCTGAACCTCACATCCCTGGAAAACAGAAGAGTAAGGGGAGACATGATAACCACCTACAAAATTCTCAGGGGAATTGACAGGGTGGACAAAGACAAACTCTTCAGCACGGGTGGGACACGAACAAGGGGACACAGGTGGAAACTTAGTACCCAGATGAGCCACAGAGACGTTAGAAAGAATTTTTTCAGTGTCAGAGTAGTTAATAAATGGAATGCACTAGGAAGTGATGTGGTGGAGGCTGACTCCATACACAGTTTCAAATGTAGATATGATAGAGCCCAGTAGGCTCAGGAATCTGTACACCAGTTGATTGACAGTTGAGAGGCGGGACCAAAGAGCCAAAGCTCAACCCCCGCAGGCACAATTAGGTGAGTACAATTAGGTGAGTACACACACACAATTGGTAAAATTAGAGACTATAGTGAACTCTCATGTAGAAATAATTAGTAAATTGAAAGAAAGCAATGACCATTTGAATAGCAAAGTTTTATGTCTTGAGGATATAGTGAAAGACTTGTGCAAGGATAAGAATCAATTGGAAACAAATTGCAAAGCTATGGAAGAAGAAAATAAACTCTTCAAAATAGCTATGGAAGAAGTTAAAGTAAATTTAAACATAAATGACTACAATAGGTTAAGTAAGGAAATTCAACAGGAGAAACAGCTTTTGTCAGCACAGATGGAGGAAGTTACACAGGGAATAGAACAGTGTAAGAAAGATATGCAACTCACCTATGCACAAGGGCCAAGGAGAAGGAAAAAATTGAAGAAGCAGTAAAGGAAGCCAAACACTGCAGCAACCAGGATAAAACAAACATTAGGCTGGAAGTGAGAAAGGAATTGGCATCTAACCCAAAGTAGGTGCAAAACACAGCTGATCGGAGTAAGTCCCTGATAATTTTTGGATGTAAAGAAAAGAAGATAACATCTAGGTCAGAAAGAGCTGTAGAAGAAGCGAAAGTAGTAGATAAAATTGTTGGCCTCGTACAAGGTCTTACTACCATGGAGAATGTGTGCAACTACAGGAGAATAGGCAAATACGTAAAAGGGAAAGATTGACCTTTGAGGATCACCCTAAACGGTGCCAAACAGATGGAAGAAGTACTCAGGAATGCTAGAAAATTACAAAGTGATGAGGATGGGAAAGTGTGGTCGTTAAGACAAGATCTTTCGAAAGAAGACAGAGAAGAAGCTGAAACTGAACCTCGCCGAGGCAAAAAGTTTAAATGAGAGCAGGAATGAGGAAGAAATCAATTCTTTTTTCTACAAAGTGATAGGGCTAGGCAGACCAGTAAAAGTGGTACATAAAGGCAAACCAACAAAATCAATAGAGAGAGGGGGAGTGAAGAATAAGGAGAGGGGTAACAAGTTCCTGAAGATTGCATACATCAACATAGATGGAGTGAGATCAAAGATACTGGAGTTAAGTGATGTAATACAGCTGCAGAGACCAGACATTGTTGCACTCATAGAGACAAAACTTGAAGATTTTATTTTAAATGAGGTTATATTCCCAAGGGGCTACTCAATTTGGAGACAGGACAGAAAAACTAGGAAAGGCGGTGGCGTTGCTGTGGTGGTGGCGCAACAAGAAGTTGACATAATAGCACTAGAGATCTGCCATGAGGATGATAAACTACTGATCATAAATGCATATAGTCCACCGCCAAGCAGCACATGGTCAAAGGAGGAGCTAGATAGTAAACACGAAGGTCTTATAACAATAATGAGAGAGATTATAGCGAGAGCGGATAACGATGGATCACGACTGTTGATAGTCGGTGACTTGAACTTGAGATCCATAGACTGAGAAGCATATGAAGCTAAAACAGAAGATTTTTGAACCTGTAGATTTGTAGACCTCATCCTGGAAACATCAACATATTAATTAAACAAGCTACGAGGATGAAGAAAGGACGTTCCCTCCATGCTAGATTTGATATTTACGAGGAAGGAGGAAGAGATATTTGACATTCAGTACCTTCCTCCCTTGGGTAAAAGTGACCATGTCTTTTTGGGAATAAAGTATGCAATGCGTTATAATCTGGAAGAAAATATGGAGGTTGAAGCAGTTGAAAAACTTGACTTCAGGAGAGGACATTATGGCCACCTTAGAAATTTTTTTAGTGAGTATAATTGGACAGACTTGATGCTAGACAAGGAAGTGAATGAGATGTATGTCAAGTTTTGTGAAATATATGATAAAGGAACAAAAAAATTTATACCAAAACAGAGATGCAGAACTAGAAAACAGGATGGGTTCAATAGAAATTGCGAGAGGGCCAAAGACCAAAAGACACAAAAATGGAATCAATACAGGAAGAGGCCAAACCCCAAACATACCAGCGATACAAAGATGCGAGAAACAACTACACGGCAGTGAGGAGAGAGGCAGAAAGAATATTTTGAAAAAGGGGATTGCAGACAAATGTAAAACAGAACCAGGTCTATTCTATAAATTCATAAACAACAAATTGCAGGTAAAGGATAATATTCAGAGGTTGAAAATGGGAAATAGATTCACGGAAAATGAAAAGGAAATGTGTGAAACACAAACGAAAAGTTAAAAAGTGTGTTTGTACAAAATGAAATCTTTAGGGAACCAGACACAATAAGAATTCCAGGGAACATAGAGCACATAGAGGTGTGTAGAGATGAAGTGGAAAAAATGCTCAAGGAGCTAAGTACTGTAAAAACAAAGCAGTTGGTCCAGATGGAGTTTCACCATGGGTTCTGAGAGAATGTGCACCTGAGCTCAGCATTCCACTTCAAATGATTTTTCAGGCATCCCTGTGTACAAGAGTTGTAGCTGATGTGTGGAAAAAGGATAACATAGTTCCAATCTGCAAAAGTGGAAGCAGGGAAGACCGCCTTAATTATAGACCGGTATCATTGACAAGTGTAATAGTCAAAATATTGGAAAAAATAATTAAAACTAAATGGGTAGAACACCTGGAGAGAAATGATATAATATCAGACAGACAGTATGGTTTTCAATCTGGAAGATTCTGTGTATCAAATTTACTCAGTTTCTATGATCGAGCAACAGAGATATTACAGGAAAGAGATGGTTGGGTTGACTGCATCTATCTGGACCTAAAAAAGGCTTTCAACAGAGTTCCACATAAGAGGTTGTTCTGGAAACTGGAAAATATTGGAGAGGTGACAGGTAAGCTTCTAACATGGATGAAAAATTTTCTGACTGATAGAAAAATGAGGGCAGTGATCAGAGGCAATGTATCGGACTGGAGAAATGTCACAAGTGGAGTGCCACAGGGTTCAGTTCTTGCACCAGTGATGTTTATTGTCTAAATAAATGATCTACCAGTTGGTGTACAGAATTATATGAACATGTTTGCTGATGATGCTAAGATAACAGGAAGGATAAGAAACTTAGATGATTGTCATGCCCTTCAAGATGACTTGGACAAAATAAGTATATGGAGCACCACTTGGCAAATGGAATTTAATGCCATGTTATGGAATGTGGAATAGGAGAACATAAACCCCACACAACCTATATATTATGTGAGAAATCTTTAAAGAATTCTGTTAAAGAAAGAGATCTATTGGTGGTTCTAGATAGAAAACTATCACCTGAGGACCACATAAAGAATATTGTACGAGGAGCCTATGCCACGCTTTCTAACTTCAGAATTGCTTTTAAATACATGGATGGCAATATACTAAAGAAATTGTTCACGACTTTTGTTAGGCCAAAGCTAGAATATGCAGCGGTTGTGTGGTGCCCATATCAGAAGCACATCAACAAACTGGAAAAGGTGCAAAGACATGCTACTAAGTGGCTCAAAGAACTGAAGGACAAGAGCTACGAGGAGAGGTTAGAGGCATTAAATATGCCAAAACTAGAAGACGGAAGAAAAAGAGGTGATATGATCACTACATACAAAATAGTAACAGGAATTGATAAAATCGATAGGGAAGATTTCCTGAGACCTGGAACTTTAAGAACAAGAGGTCATAGATTTAAACTAGCTAAACACAGATGCCGAAGAAATACAGTATAAGAAAATTCACTTTCGCAAGCAGAGTGGTAGACGGTTGGAACAAGTTAGGTGAGAAGGTGGTGGAGGCCAAGACCGTTAGTAGTTTCAAAGCGTTATATGACAAAGAGTGCTGGGAAGATGAGAGACCACGAGCGTAGCTCTCATCCTATAACTACACTTAGGTAATTACACACTCTCTCTCTCACTCACTGAGGATAAAATTAACTGCAGTGTTTTGCAAGAATTGATGCACCTTCCCTAGGTTTACTTACACTGGAATTCTGTGAGGCCAGCAACCTGAAATATCTTTCAACTAATTATAACAATCTCACCTGCAATACTCTCTTGCGGATAGGTTCCACCAGCTTGTTGTCATAGAGTGAGGCGAGAAGCTGGAAGGTATTACCTCCACCAATAAATATGGCTTCAGCCTTATTGACTGCAGCAACTGGATCTTCAGCCTTGTGCACACTATCTAATTCAAATCCTGGAAAAAAATTATGTGACAAATGGCAAGGTTAAAGTTTATTAAATAACTACAGTACAGTACTTTAAAATATATAAAATGTGCAGACAAATGATCTACCTTTATCTTATGGTAAAATATAACAAACCAAAAATAAATCAATAAATGTAACATACCCCAAGATGTAAATTTTTTATGAGCCGTCTCAGCATAATTGTCCATCTTGCGTAAGGCATATGGCACAAACAACACCCGCTTCACATTGTGGCTGTGACAGAAATAAAGCAATTTTGGCTCAGACAATCACAGTATTAAATGGAAAGCTTTACTGCCTTGTCCTGCTCAACAACTTATGGCAATAATACTCCAGAGCAAGATAACAGATTTTCTGAGCCATCCCAGTTACTCCCTAATGCAAGATCCTACTGATCCCTGATCAAGATCTGGTGTGTGTGGTCAAGACAGGTCAAGAGTCCAAAGTGGAGAATTTTTTAAACTGTTCTTGCCATGTGATATGCATATTTCTGACACAAAAAGATGGCACTCAACAGGGCTTTGTCATCACCTCCACCTTCATATTACTTGACTTCTCAAGACCAAATGGGAACAGTAGATATTGTAGCAAGCTATATTTGATTATACTTAATGTGAAGCAGCAGCCAACAGCATCGATTCCAATGATATACAAGAGCCTGTAGGCCAGATCAACCCCAGAGAGCTCACTTGCTATCCAACTGCCACAAGAAGCTGTGTTCACTGCTCTCTCCAGAAAGACAAAAATTTATGTCTAGAACTGGTACAAAGGACCAGTGTTGTGAATTAAAGTTAGTGTTGTTCTAGGAGCAGGTTTGCCCAGTTAGGAAACATGACTTCTGTGGATGGCATAGTGAGGAGCTTCACAGTGACTGTGTGGAGACTGCAAGAGACAATCTACAAGTGGGGACAAGCTTTCGGATGCCATGGAGGAAGTGGAGAAGCTTTGTGTATCCGGAGCTTCATTTCAACCACTGATAAGTGCGCACATCTTACAGCAACATTCATGAAATTATACTAAATTCTATTCATTCCCAAAGGATTAGTTAGTGTACATGCCAACTTGTTGACAGGGATTTGGCAGCATTAGCTACCACCTGGTCTTTCCTGTTGAGGATTTGGATGCAGACTATCTACTTTCCTGAAGTCTCTAGATTCAGTTCTCAGAGCAGACCAGATTCATGAGATATCAAATGTGCTGGCTGACAGACTCTCCCAGTTTCTTCACACTGGAATAGAGCAGAGGCTGAATGAAGCTTTTATTTTTGTTAGGATTTGTGGCACCCTCAGTGCTCTTTAACCCCTGGGCTGTGCCACTGTTTATACCATGCAACACCCAGGTACACATAAAATATAAAAATTCTAAAAAATATGTTTTTCCATTTGACATTGCTAATTAGCATCCAAGTAGCATAAGAACCCAATTAAAAGTCTCTACCTCTTGTGGTTTAGATGTAGCGGCCCAGAGAAGTTGCATTTTTTCAGCAGAAATGAGGAAAATAGCTTTGTCGATTTATTTTCATTGCTTCTCACTTTATTTAGTTTTCCATTCTAACAAGATGGGTCACAGGTGGTGTTCATTATGTATGACTTTGAAAATTACAGTATACATATATACAGATGCCCAAATCTTATAATTGCACATTGTAAGGAAGGGGTCTTCTTTGAAAGGAATCTGTGGAATAATGTTGGTACTGTAACTGGCATTAAACAGTTGAAACTGTTGGTTTGAAAGGCAAAAACATTCGAAACTCCCACAGTGCATAGTTACAGAACGAGAACATGCCTCTCTAAAATGATAAACTGATAAAGGCTAAGAAACTTTCCCAAGTCCAACTTGGGAAAAATTTGTGACTGGTGAACATGTTGTGAAAATCAGTGTTAAATGTAGGAAACCAGTCTGGAATTCAAGGAGACAAAGAAAGAAATAAGTTGGGAATACGACTTGAAAAAGAACTATTATTGGAATGCTCGCAGTTGACAAAGCGCGGGCTGGTGATTCTCTCATTTTGGAGGTGGGTGTGTAACAGGCAGGATCTCCAAGTCATCACTCGATGTATCGGGATCTTCCTTCAATCAACTGTAGCTAATTGCCGATACATTGTTTAAGAAGTAATCATTGACCATGAGGGCAACAGAAATCCAAGGAAAGGAGAGAAAACCTGTGCCTTGTCCAGTTCAGGGTCTTATTTTCTATGTTTTGTTTAACATCCTGGTTATCCGTTTTGGCTCGCCCACCTTTCCAGCGGCCTTTTCTTGGTTTGGGTGATCTAGTATCCCTTGCTCCTTTACAGTAGGGGGCCAGGTTTTGTCTTCCAGGACCGTGGTAGGCTTACAGTGACTTGCAAGGACTTGGCATGAATTGAATTGTAGATAGCAACAAGGAGGCACCTTAGAGCCCTTCCAGAAGCGTTTACACATTCTCTAATAGTGGTTCCTAACCTTTCTGTACTCGGGGTACTATTTTCTAATCCTCAAGAGGTGTGTGGCATCCCCCTCCCCCACAACATTTTCAGAATAGAAAAAGAAATTTATCAAAGAATGAATTTAGAAACAATCATTAAGAATTTGTTCAGTGAACATTAGGTTCTGTGACCTAATCTGGTAGCCCGGATGAGCTGGAAGTGAAGGCAGACATTCAAGGTCAGTATCTATAGTAACACATGAAAACATGACCATTTGTCAAACGTTAAACATGACTAAAGTGCTTATCTAAAAGCACTTATGTTTACACCTCAAACTTATGGAAACATCCTTAAAACTTTATAAAACACCCCTGAAACTGTATAAAAGCACCCATGAAACTGTATAAAAGCACCCATGAAACTGTATAAAAGCACCCATGAAACTGTATAAAAGCACATCTAAAACTGTATAAAAGGAAAACCATTCCTGAAACAGTGCAGACTACTCCAGGCATAAGCCTCAAAACCATACCTGGTTAAAAATTCCTCGATATGCTGTGCGGCCCACTCCAAGTACCCGCTGCCGTGGACAGTGGAGTTGGAGAGAAGTAATAAGTTTCTGGGAGACATTTTAATTTTCTTGATCTCTCCTTAACACCTCGTGTATGCACAGCAGTGCTACTCCTGGAAGTAAAATACCAAAACTGTTAGATCGCAGCTCTACCTTTAAAGTCATCAGACTGATTAGTAAACCAACTGTCTCTTAATGTCTCTTAAAAACTAGAAAATTCTGCAGATATTTACCCAGTACATAAAGCCAAAGTACAGTACAGTACATTATCCTCATACCAGACCAAATTCAATACAGTAATACCAATTACTGTACTATTTTCTAATTGCCTTTTATGTCAATATATGCATGATGGTCCTAGTCGTTACTATAAGGACTACCTAAAAAGGATGGGCTGTATATTAAGGGCCCAGATCTACATTGCTAATGAACAAGTGTAGTGTAGTGTAGTGTGTACATTGCTAACTCCAGCAGATCAGCATATTCGGGATACATTATACATATACAAATAGCTGATTGCCTAGATAGGTATACTGTACACCCAATGACACTGGATCATAGTATATTTATGAATATTACAGGATGTTGAAAGATAGTTTATTAAGTTCAGTTGTCACTCATGATTTTCTTTATATTTTAATGCAGGTTGACATGTAGTGAAGATGTGAGCAAGATTGGTTACATAAAGTGAATTAGGAAGTTTTAAGTTTCTCTTTTAAACTGGTTAAGAGAAGAACATTCTTTCATGTCATTAGGGAGGTCATTCTATAGTTTGGGACCCTAGATTTACATAGCATTTCTACTTTGGTTAAGTTGCACTCTTGGACTACAGTATCAAAAAGATATTTGTGTCTCGTGTGGTGTCCATGGGTTCTAGGAAGTGGCTAAGGTCAGGATTAGCATTACAGTGCAGTGTTTTATACATGTAAAGTACACCGAGACGATGTGCAGTGACTTAAGATTTAACATATGCAAAGTTTTCAGTAAGGGTGCGGTCTGGGGCTAGAGTTTAAACATCTTTACTTTGACTATAAACTGAACTTTTATTAGTGTACTTTCGTCAAGTAAGGGCGCCTGACAGCTGGGTGGACAGCGCTTCGGATTTGTAGTGTCCTGAGGTTTCTGAGGCAAAATGTTTCTTTCACCCTGATGCCCCTGTTACCTAGCAGTAAATAGGTACCTGGGAGTAAGACAGCTGCTATGGGCTGCTTCCTGGGAGGGGTGTAACAAAAAGGAGGCCTGGTCGAGGACTGGGCGGCGGGGACGCTAAGTTCCGAAATCATCTCAAGATAACCCCAAGAAGAAGATTCTCATTAGACACTTGCAAATGGACATCCAAAACTATTAGCGACAAATATTTTCCCGAAATTTGTGGATACGTACTATACTAACCTAACTACTTGGGGTATATGATATAGGCACATGCACTGGTAATATTTGTGTCTTTTACCAAAATATGTAAGAAACAGAATTTTTAAATACTGCTGCATGTTCTAAGACTGGCAACCATATTCTACACGATTTCAAACTATTAACATCACTGTAAAACACAATTTTAGTATAAAATTGATTTTCAGTGGAAAACTGGAGGGTGGTTGATGATGATGAGGCTGATGGGGGGAGAGGAAATGTTCGAGAAGTCAAAAGTTTCGAAAAGTAAACTAAAATATGCCAACCAATACTGTACAGTGAACAATAGCAATTTAGCAGCACAATAGAGATAATACTGATAAATTAATGTACCACTTTTAGTAAATAAACAATTTTGAGGTAAATAAAAAAAAAAAAGTGCATGGTACTACCGAGGCAAGGGTAAATGCCACTTTTTCTATAAATAAAATTGTGGCAGACAAAATTTTTGGCTCCAAGAATGTAATTTTGACTATTAGGTGTATAATCAACGCTGAAAAAACAAAAATACCAAGATTGATTTACAGAACGTACACACAAATATGTCTTTTAGTCTACTGAACCATAAATGCACCAATCACATTCATTTTAGTTTGTGAACTCTCTAAAACATGAGGTTAGGATATTATGTTTGGTCATGAGGAAAAAATATATATATTCTTTATCTAAACACTATTGCAGTGGATGAAGCATTTAGCCATAGGGTTATTGCCCGAATCTATATAATTCTAAAAACAAAATATTAAACTGATCAAAATGAATAAAGTAGAACTGTACCATTACCACACACCCTCCCTTAATCTTGCCCGACTTGGTTACAAAAATACAAGGCAACATATTCACAAACATAAATTGCTTAGCTTAAGGAACATTGGAATACCGATCCTGAATCTATTATGCGACCCTATAATCTTCCAGCCACACCCCACAGGATGGGTATTATGGAGCCAGGGTACCCATTATATAACCCCCTATAAACGTTCTGCCACTGGCCCTCCCAGGATGGGTATCATGTGGCCTGGGTACCCATTATTTGATCCTATAACCTTCCAGCCATTGCCCCTCCCCCTTTCCAGGATGGACATTATGGGGTCTGGGATACCCATTTATTTATTTATTTATTTATTTATTTATATACAAGAAGGTACATTGGGGATTTAACAGAGAACATAGAAATTGAGTAGATTTTACATTCTTGTAAAGCCACTAGCATGCACAGCATTTCGGGCATATCCTTAAACAGATAATTTTAGACAATTCACAGCAAAATTTACAAAAAAATACTTTTACAACTTTTTAAAATTATCTGTATCTGTATAGTAACGTTGTAAAGTACTTTACAACGTTACTATACAGATACAGATAATTTTAAGTAGAATAATTACAGCAAATCGTCAAAAATGTTTACAGGAACATTGCAAGAACTTTTGACACAGAAGCAGATTAGAATAATACACAATAATAACAATACACCACAATGAAAGGATTACTAGGTACATTAGGACAACATTCCAGGGTTATACATTGGTTCACTGAAGCAAAATATGAGGATCATTTCAAGGAATAATCCAGCAGGATATGTACTCAATACAACAACCATGATATCAGATGATATCCAAGATTACAATGGTAAAGCAACATGGCTTAGGCACAAATATTGGGGGATTAGGTAGCACTAGGTACAGTGCGAGATAAAGCACCAGGTAGAAAACTATGAAGATGAAATAAGGTACTTTTTGGTTTTATTTTTGAATAAGGCAAAAGTTGGACAGCTTTTCAATTCATTAGGGAGTGAGTTCCATAGACTAGGTCCCTTTATTTGCATAAAGTGTTAACACAAATTAAATTTGACTCTGGGGATATCAAAGAGACATTTATGTCTGGTGTGGTGAGTATGTGTTCCATTACATCTCTCCAGGAAGAGTTTCAGAACAGGGTTTGCACTTAAGAGAAGGGGTTTATAAATGTAATTGACACGAGAATGTATGGAGTGAATTCATGTTTAGCATGTTTAGGGATTTAAACGGGGGAGCTGTGTGCTGTCGGAAAGCAGAGTTTGTTATTATCCTGATAGCAGATTTTTGCTGGGTGATGATGGACTTGAGGTAGTTTGCAAGCACAGATACCATAAGAAAGATAGGTGCATAATAGAATGAGAGGAGAGCAGAGTAGGGTACATAATATCTGATCTTAGAGAGTATACCAACTGTTTTTGAAACCTTTTTAGTTATGGATTGTATATGGGTGCTGAAGTTGAGTCTGTTGTCTTATAGGCCAAGGAACTTTCCATCATTTTTATTGCTAATGTTAACATTATCTATCTGAAGCTGAAATGCATTTGTTGATTTGCTTCCAAATAAGATGTAGTAGGTCTTTACTATGTTTAGTGTGAGTTTGTTGGTTGACATCTACAAGTGGACTTATTTTAATTCATTGTTTACAACATTATTTAATATGAGTGGGTTAGGGTCAGAGTAGATGAGAGTAGTATTATCAGCAAACAATATAGGTCTAAGCACATTAGAGACATTAGGCAGATCATTGATGGTTATAAGAAACAGGAGGGGTCCTAGGATGCTGCTCTGCGGCACCCCTACGGTTAGTGGTAGAGTAGGAGAGGGTTATATCATTGATGGCTACATATTGGTGTCTGTCACTAAGAAAGGATCGGATATAGTTCAGGGCAAGGCCACAGATTCCATAATGGTGGAGTTTAAGTAAGAGGTAGTTGTGGTTAACAGTATCGAAAGCCTTTCTCAGGTCATTGAAGAATCCAATCGGAAACTCACTTTTGTCAAGGGCTGACTAGATTAAGTCAAGCAGACTAACAATTGCATCATTGGTACTCTTTTGGGAGCACAAGCCAAACTGACAGGGATTTAGTATATTGAATTTTACGAGATAAGAGTAGAGCTATTTGTAAATAATTTTTTCAAATATTTTTGATAATATAGGTAGATTTGTTACGGGTCTGTAATTATTTATGTCTGCCGTGTTACCTCCTTTATGAACTGGCATTACTCTTGCTTTTTTAAGGATATCAGGGAAGGTACTCTAGAGATTTATTGAACATTGTGACCCTATAACCTTACAGCCCCCATCACCCCCCCCCCAAAGATAGGCATTATGAAGTCAGGGGTACCCATTATATGACCCTATAACCTCCTGAGAACAGGGGGGATGCTTTTCCACCCACAGGGTTATTAACCCATGGAACCGCCTACCCGCCGAAGCCGTAACTGACAAAACTGTTTCAAAATATACCTGGAAAAAGACCATCAAGGTAAAAACGCTTCGACAAGCCGCCGGCTTCCTGTTCTCCTCGAGGTCCCTCAGGGGTTAGTGGCCGTCAGGTAAATCAGGTATAAAAATTAAAATCCGTCCAGCCATTGACCCCCAGGATGGGTATTAGTGTAGTCCATGATAAGCTAATTACAGTGTCTTAACAGCCACACACACACACATTTAACAAGGTAATTGCTATTATCACCGCACTATTCAACGGTTGTTATGATGACCTCTGCCCCACTGACCTGACCTCCACTGAACTGTTGTTGACTCGGTCAGAGCTGCCACATCTGAATGGCTGAAAGTAGCGAGTTTGTAATAAATTGTCGCCCAATATTTTGGTTACTCACTCGTACGCTTTTCAGGTTAATATATATTTTAATACGCAGTGTAAACTACATGATTTAATGATATTAATATTATCATTGTTCGTGTTTAATACAAAATGCATTAGTATAACTTAGCAATATTTGTTGCATGTAGCATAGCCTCGAAACGCTATGCGTGTTAGTGGCTTTGCTAGAATGTAACAATCAAGCCCCAATGTACTAACTTTCACAACCCAATATACTTTCTATATGTGAATAAATCAAGTTAAATATATAGTTTAACCTTAAGTAAAAAGTAGCGCCGGGTATTCAACAGTAGCACACTTCGCTACTTTTAGCCCTCTGGCAACACTGCTCTCAATGTTGTTATCTGAACCCATTGATGATGTGACGACATGTAGTGAATTTTGTAACTAGTTCATCAAGATTGTAACTTGCTTAGCTAAATGAATTGTGGGGTTCAGTCCCTGAGCCCATAATGTGCCTTTGTAACCCTTTCAACTACCACCCACAGGATGGGTATCGGGTGCATAATAAATTATTAAGTATAATAATTATTATAATAATAATATAATTAATTAATAATGATCTCTTTTCCTTCTGCTAGGAGGATTATTATACCTTCTCATAGTATAATGAGAGGACCTTCTCATTATACTATGCACTAATCTCCGTCTAACATATGGTATCTGTGCATGGGGAGCCGGTCGGCCGAGCGGGCAGCACGCTGGACTTGTGATCCTGTGGTCCTGGGTTCGATCTCAGGCGCCGGCGAGAAACAATGGGCAGAGTTTCTTTCACCCTATGCCCCTGTTACCTAGCAGTAAAATACGTACCTGGGTGTTAGTCAGCTGTCACGGGCTGCTTCCTGGGGGTGGAGGCCTGGTCGAGGACCGGGCCGCGGGGACACTAAAGCCCCGAAATCATCTCAAGATAACCTCAAGATGGGGTTCAACCACTGCAAATTACCTCAAGCCCATCATCACTCAACAAATCTGCTATCAGAACTATAACAAACTCTGTCTTCAGACAACACAGCACCACTATTAAAGTCCCTTAACATGCTAAACATACTCTCACTCCACACATTCTCATGTGCTATCTACATGTACAAAACATTGTTCCTAAATGCTAATCAAGATCTGAAACTTTTCCTCGATTGATGTAATAGATATTCCTTGATAGATGCATGATCATCACATCAGAAATCAATATCGCTTTGATATCCCCAGAGTCAGGCTAAATCTGTGCAAACATTTCATGGAAATAAAAGGACCCCGTCTATGGAACTCACTCCTTGAGGAATTAAAAAATTGTTCAACCTTTGCCCTGTTCAAAAGTAAAACCCCAAAGTACCTAATATCATCCTCATAGTTTCCTACCTTGTGCTTCAAACTCTTACTGTATCTTGTACTACCCTACTTCACCCAATATTAGTACTTAAGACATATATCTTTATATCTTTACCAGTGTAATCACCTGTGTCAACTTACATTGTAGTTATTTGTTGATATAAAACCTTGCTACAATGTACCTTTTCATCTTACGTGATATGGTAGATTAAGGACCTGCCCGAGACACTATGCGTGTTGATGGCTTTGCATGAATGTAAAAATATCCCTCTTCTGTACCCTCACCAACCCATTGTACCTCCTTGTGAATAAAATATTATTATTAGTGCGTTGACGCAAGCGGTTCACGCCGACTTCGTTATGTCAGAGGAATGAGAACTTCGTTACGCAAAAGTTACACCGTGTTCCTGGAAGTGTTTACGGTGACCAGTCCGACAAGGTCATGAGGTGAGCGTCGACCAGGTACACCGTCTCCACTTGACGTGATTTACGACAGTGACAGTGACGGCGGTAATTGCTGGGGTAACATGTTCTCAGGACTGGTCGATGGCTGAAGTGTAGGGGTGCCAGCAGGCTGTGGCGTCCTCACTAACCTGTGACGTAGAGGTGTAGGGGTGCCGGCAGGCTGTGGCGTCCCTACTAACCTGTGACGTAGAGGTGTAGGGGTGCCGGCAGGCTGTGGCGTCCTCACTAACCTGTGACGTAGAGGTGTAGGGGTGCCGGCAGGCTGTGGCGTCCTCACTAACCTGTGACGTAGAGGTGTAGGGGTGCCGGCAGGCTGTGGCGTCCTCACTAACCTGTGACGTAGAGGTGTAGGGGTGCCGGCAGGCTGTGGCGTCCTCACTAACCTGTGACGTAGAGGTGTAGGGGTGCCGGCAGGCTGTGGCGTCCCCACTAACCTGTGACGTAGAGGTGTAGGGGTGCCGGCAGGCTGTGGCGTCCTCACTAACCTGTGACGTAGAGGTGTAGGGGTGCCGGCAGGCTGTGGCGTCCTCACTAACCTGTGACGTAGAGGTTTAGGGGTGCCGGCAGGCTGTGGCGTCCCCACTAACCTGTGACGTAGAGGTGTAGGGGTGCCGGCAGGCTGTGGCGTCCCCACTAACCTGTGACGTAGAGGTGTGTGGCGTCCTCACTAACCTGTGACGTATCTCACAACATAATTATATTCGGGGGAAATAACGCATTTGAAGTTAATAGCAATAACAAATATTAGCTTGTTAAATGGCAAATGGTGTTGATTCACAAATCAGAAAAGGCCATATTACCTACACCCACGAGAAATTGAAATTGAAATAAGTTTATTGAGGTAAAATACACATAAAGGGATGAGGTAGCTCAAGATATTCTCACCCTGTTCAGTACATCGTGTTAATACATACATATACACACATCACAAACAATAAACATATTACCAAACATTCTGAGAGATAAACATCTACATTTCCTAACCCACGAGAGATACGGTCATAAACCCGAACATATTCAGTGACTCTTGAACCAAACTCAGATTAAAAAACTTGATATATAAATTGCTGTACATTTCCAACTGAGTAGTTTATAACCAAAGTTTCTCTTATTTACATAACATATATGTAAATAATGATACATAATAATCATAATAACACGTAATTATTATAATTAAGTATTGTATAATAGAAATTTAATTTATCAGTCATTTATAGAAGTCACTACAAGTGTGTGGCTAGAAAGAAGAGGTGTGCAGCCATAGATAACCATCTGGGTCACAGTTATGCGTGGCCTCGAATTACTTAACCTATACCGTTGATAGGTTAAGTAATAATTGTAAATAAGAAACAATAAGATGCTTATCTTAACATACTAAGAAGGTTAGGTGAGGTCGGTGTTTTCCATGAAGCTTTTCAAGGTAAACTAAAATATTCACAATCAATTAGTATGTCACATATGCACTTATTAAATAAGCCAATATTGACTGTAAGCAAGTGCGAGAACGGGTTGCCCTGAGGGTAGCAGTGTTGAGTGTGGGTGTTGATGTCAGTATAGTGAAGCATTCGGCAAGGTGGAGGGGGGAGGGAGGGCCTGCTACGTGTTGTGAGTGTAGTATAGTGTAGTGTGTAGCACACACACACATACACACACACACACCCACACACACACACACACACACACACACACACACACACACACACACACACACACACACACACACACACACACACACACACACACACACACACTCACACTCACACTCACACTCACACACACACACACACACACACACACACTCACACTCACACTCACACTCACACTCACACACACACACACACACACACACACACACACACACACACACACACACACACATACAGGAGATAAGAAAATTCCTAACAGATATAAAATGGAAAACAGAGCTCAGGGGAATGACGGCCCAAGACATGATGGACTACATCACGCACAAGTGTAAGGACGCAGCAGACAAGTTTGTCCCAGCCCAAAAGGTAAACCAAAGAAATGCAGACGAGAAACCCATGGTTTAATCAGAGATGTAAGCTAGCTAAGCAACAGAGTACAAGGGCGTGGAGAAACTAGAAATAACAGGACACCTGAGAGCAGAGAAAGATACCAGAGTGCCAGGAATGAACACGTCAGGGTGAGAAGAGAGGCAGAAGGACAATACGAAAATGACATAGCAAACAAGGCAAAGACTCAACCTAAACTGCTGCACAGCCACATCAGGAGGAAAACAACAGTGAAGGAAGAGGTAATGAAACTGAGGATAGGGGAAGATAGATTCACTATAAACGACAAGGAGGTGTGCGAGGAACTCAATAAGAAATCCCAGGAAGTCTTCACATTAGAGCAAGGAGAAATCCCAGAGATAAGAGAGGGAATATCTAACCAGACACCACTAGAGGAGTTTGTGATTACCAGCGGGGAGGCAAGGAAGCTTTTGCTAGAATTGGATGTGACAAAGGCTATAGGCCCAGATGGAATATCGCCATGGATACTAAAGGAAGGAGTAGAAGTAATGTGCCTGCCACTCTCCATGGTGTATAACAAAACACTGCTAACAAGTGAACTGCCAAAAATTTGGAAGACAACAATGTAGTCCCGATATACAAGAAGGGTGATAGGCAGGAGGCACTGAACTACAGGCCAGTGTCCCTAACTTGCATACCATGCAAGTTGATGGAGAAGATTGTGCGAAAAAAGCTAGTGGAACATCTGGAGCGAAAGAACTTTGTAACACAACATCAGCTTGAGTTTAGAGATGGCAAGTCATGCCTCACAGGATTAATTGAATTCTACGACCAGGCAACAAAAATCAGGCTTCAGGAACTGATAAACAAGAGTTACGAGGAGAGAGTAGAGGCGTTAAAAATGCCATAACTAGAATATAGAACAAGATGAGATATGATCCCCACTTGCAAAATACTAACAGGAACAGACCAAACTGACAAAGAGGAATTCCTGAAACCAGCAACTTCACGAACAAAAGGAAACAGATTCAAGCTAAGAAAACAGAGGTGCCGAAAATATATTAGAAAATTTTCTTTAGCAAACAGAGTGGTAGACGGT